CGGCAACACTAACAACAAGTGTGGCGTTGAAGGCCTCACCACATTGCTTGACTTGCATAAGGAAGACTGAATTCCACTCTGCAATTTCATTGGATGCGAAAATATGTAGAGGATTTGGGGTCGGAGGGCATGGTGGTCTCTCCACATGAGGATCAAATTTGGGGTCAGTTTTTACCTCAACATCTGGTAGATGATGGAAGATGATGTCTTCGAAAAACACAAAAAATTGTTTCTGATAAGCTTCGTCATGTAGCTTTGCATGGATCTCAGAAGAATTGGCTGCACCATCTAACCATAAAAGGTAGTGCCCATGCAGAGAACCACGCTCAGTATATTCAGATGATCCATAGAAAGCACATATATGACCAAAGAGACCACCTGCTGCACTAGACTTCCCAGCTTTGAAATCCCATCCCAAAAGGTATTCAAAACAACATCTCCAAGAAAACTCGAAAAAATCTGCAGCAGCAACAGGGTCATGTGCTAGGCGAAGTGCATGCTCGCGGCCAGCAATCAACCGAGGGAAATGACTGGTAAGGTCCACAGAACTGTCACCATACATTACCTGAAAAATGGGACTGTGAGCGGCACTGGGATTGAAAGTAAAAAAAAGATGTGGCAGACCAAAGTAACTGAAGTAACTCCGTATTTCATTGCGGACAAAATTTTTGGAGGCTTCAGAGCCAGGAATTCTAACTGCAATAGTATTAACATTTTTTCAGTAAACTGAATGCTATCTTCTCATCTGGACTCAACTGAGACAACATCAGGTAACTGACCTGCAGATGATAAACTCTTAGACAGCTATATCTGATTTAAAATTTGCGTAATATGTATCAAAATTATACCTCGCATGAAAAAGCTTTGCATACCTGGACTTAGTTGGATGAAACCCACCAACGGCTCAAAGGTGGCAGCCCATTTGCAATCACGTGCCAGCTTGCGACGGTATTGCAATACCTATCAACGGTGGCAAGGGATGATTGATATGTTCAGAGTGACCACTATTGCCTAGTTGAGGATCAGCGGCATTATACTACAATTCTGCTCTGCACTGGAAATAGTATGCAACCTTTGACTGTTTTTATTCCATCTGCAATCTCTGAACAGATGCCAGCATTCAATAAAATTTTATATGGCTGGACTGTGCTGGACCAACACCACCTATTGTGCAAGGGCGCCGAGTGTCTACAACACAGTACCAATCCATATCAGTGTGATGATCATTTGTAAACCAAGTTTATCATTGAATTTCCCACCAGAACTCCATTGGCGCTGACTTTAGGCAAGAGGTTGCAATGCTAGTCTGGCATCGTTCAGATCTGTCGAGCACACAATGCAGGCGACGAGCGGTAGTGTAGTACCATGTCATCCAACTTCTATGAGATATTACTACCATATGCAAAGCTAGGGAGTTATTTTGTTGTCCGTAAACTCTCCCCAAATGCCGGAGGCAGTTAAAGCTTTTCAACTTTGGATTAGAGCTACCTGTAGTTCAATATTTCGGAACAATGATAGTGCGGTGTCCCCCGTCACCTAGATGCTGAAGTATGGCCATCACATCTAAGGTGGGTGAGGCCGCATCTGTTCTCAGCAAACTCTATCTGACTCCGTCATACCTGAATGAGTGCACCAATACTAGATTGCAATGCAGACAGCTGCGAAAGGTGCCCAGGTGCTGGTCATTGGTAACGTGGTTCCTTCTACCGTCATAAAGTCAATGTCTGATCATCTCATTCAATCTCAGCCTGTAATTTTCGCTCATCCAAACACACGCAGAAATTTAGCAGCAGTTTTTGACTTGCAGATCTTGCTCGCATGGATCAATACTGTACACGAGAACACGATGCTTACAACACGACAACGACCTATAATTTAACAGCGGTATCAACTGAATTGAGCCAATGGTGTTGGGGCGTGGCTTGAGATCATTTGATTCAGCAGGTACGTTTGTTGCGAGAGCCAAAAACAGGCTGGTATTAGATTGCAATTTTATCTACTACATAGAACACGCTCAAATGAAGGCTATGAAGTGGCTACGTTCGAAATTGAGGATTGTTTCAAAGCAAGGTGTCTTTGTCGAATCTTCGACAACGCACTGTTGGCACTAATAGGGCGCTTGGCAGCCGAAGAAGTGGGAAATATTTGGCTGAGTATGTCAATATGAGCCTATCTGCAACACAATGAAGGTGATAACATACCGATTCCACCATGTCAATAGCTCGTGAACTTCCTTGGACTCTTCAGGATCTTTAAGGAGGTCAAGAAGACTGTGGTAAAAGGTCTCTGAATCTGTAGTCATATCGGTCCTTGAGAACACCGAGGAGGAGCTCAGAGCAAACCGGACCTTCAGTCATGTCAAAATTGTCTACATACAGGAGAATCGCACTCAACAAACTTGTGTTGCGATATAAGCAATGGAGGCGATAGTGACAGAGGTCATGCCATGGAGGCAGGCGTTTCCGGATCGCGTAGCTTTCGGCTCCTTCTCGACCGAACTTGGAGACGTGAACACGTGTTTGTAAGCCTGGTGGAGTACCATACAGCAGAGAAACTTTGAAAAGATGACACCCACATAGACAAGTAAACGGCTTCTAAGAAGGCCGCTCCACGGATCTTCAGTGTTGTAAGTATAGTGGGCGTATAAAAAATGGGCCATTGATCGCCACAGACCCATAGTTCGCCACTTCGTAGGTTCATTTTGGTCCTATCCGCAAAGTGCGAAAATAATTAGTAGACCGAGTATGCATTTAATCAGAACGTACTGTAAGTCGTTCCAATCCAATCCCAAAGTAGAAACCCTGTAAGTTCGTGATTAAATCCACGATCGACCTTCGAGTTCCTATGTAGAGGAGGCTGGATAGCTTCTCCTTTCGGAGTGATCCAATCAAGGACCGCAGACTTCAATGTTTTCGTGTCATCACCTCTGGCACCAGCAGCTCCCTTGCCGATCTATAAATCATAAGTAAGAACTCTGACCATGAAAAAAAGCGACGTACCAGTTCTCCAACGTGAAGAATCTCCTCCTCAGACCCGTTTTTTTAATCGTTCCAGAAGACCTGGATAAGATTCCAAAAGCTGCTCAAAGACATGATGTTCCCGCCGCTCTCTAACAATATGTTGACCTGCACCAACCGGTTCGGTGCATGATGACTAATGCTCTCCCATGAGCCCGATACCCCTAGATAATCCATTATGAACAATCTTCCTTACTTTATGGTTCAGACTGCAGTTCAGATAGTATTTTCATTTCTCAGACAGACTCAGATAGGCTGAATATTCTTGTATATTTAATTTGTGGTCAATTCTGCTTAGTCAGCAATAACAATGACTCAGACTGAATCCCACACATGTCAAGTAACAGTGTAAAATAGTTCTGCATAATAAGTTGCCTTGTGGGAACTTTCTTAACACTCTAAATACACGGCTCGCGTCATTTCTACGGTCAATAAAGTAACATCATAACAAGACACCAACAAATACATACTCCGTTACTTAATATTTGTCACATGATACTAAGTTCTATGACTCTAACAGTCAGGTGACCTATGCTCCTAAACCAAATCAGGACAAAGCAACCTTTTGAGATGACTAAAGCTTGATGACACAAATTATAAAGCACATGACTACAGTAAAGTATTGGTACAATCTGACTAAGCCTATTCCCCTTAGAATGTGGGAAATAGTAACACAGCCACCATAATTTATCTATATAAGACCCCACTTTTTGCCAATAAAAATATGCATACATAGGGAACTTTTAAAGCCCACAAAATAAATTTGAGTGTGAAGTGTGATCAGTATCAACAACAGTGACAAGAGCTGTTAAGCAATCAACTGAGAGGTCATTGTAAGCAACATCCAGCAAACCTTTAGCTCATCGTCAACAACCGTGAAATATCTTGAGCTCACTGTGCTCAACAGTGAGCAAACTTTTTCTTTGATTTACTGGTGAACCTCTAGTCTCTTCTTTTCTTTCCTTCTCTCGTGCTTTTCTGTTTCTTTCTTTTCATTTGCTCTTTCTGTCAGTTCAGCATGTCTCAGTGTTTGGTCTGAATGGTTTTCAAGATCTTTGTGTTGTCTGTACGTCCATCTAAGCACCGCTTAGTGAGAAGACTTCAGAAGTTGATAGTGACGCTGACCTCACTCATCTGAGTAGTGATACGAGCCAGGGTGTCTGCTAGACTTTAGTTGTTGAATAGGGGACTTGGTACTGAAATCCAAGGACGTCCGTTCCTGATTCTGTTTAATACTCATCGTGAGTTCCTTGGCAGCAGGTTCAATAGTGAACTAAGAGTTCTACTGATCACTGATTAGTCCTGACCTTTGATTCTACCTGTTTGTGCTGAGGGGGTGATTGCTATAATTTCGCACAACTTTCTGTAGTAAATTTATTACAAGAAGCATTGTTACTGAAGGAAGGGTTTCCCTTATCAATCTATTTCTTTTTTTATCAGTACCATACTGTTGGGCTGACTTTTCTCTGTTCTCTATAACACTGCCCTATACCATTGGAGTGAATCAATTTCTTTTGTCATCACCATACTGCTTGGGCTGGACTACATTCTGTTTATTTTATTTTCTATTGCATCCATACTGTTGTGATTGACTGGTATTGCTACTGACCTCACAAGAAGTACTTTTGTCTTAACATAGCTTGGGGAAGTGTAAACAGCCACCCCACGAACAACCACGTTATCAGTCATTGGTATTGTCTGAATCAGCTGACCGTGGAGAGATTTTTGATTTTGTAGGTGTTTATCTATAGATCATCTATCTAAGAAGACAACGTCACAGTCAACGAGGGGATAGAAATATAAGTATTCTTTTACTCAGCAGGGAAGTTTTCCAGCGGTGTATCTTCCATTTGTTCCAATCTCAGACTACCATTGGTGAGGAGGGATGGGTAATTGCCACAGCGCAAACACTGTCCGACCAAAGTGCCGTCTGTGTGAGACAAGCGGATCAGTCGTTGAGCTAATTGACAGAATGAGTGAAGCGAAACCAGTGGTGAATGTTGGAGACAGCTTACACTTTTTTTCTGGGCGCCATTTGGAGGGCTGACGAGCCGTGTCTCCTTGAAACGCTAGAAAGTGGCATCATCTTGCAGTCATGAGTGCTAGAGAGCAATAAAGGTAGTCCATGTATCGCCAATCTGAAACTAGCTTTTTATTCACAGCCTACCGTAAGTGATATATATATGGAACCTACCAGAGGCAGGCGCCAGTGATGGACTGGCAGGCTGCGCCAGTGGGTGACGGATATGCACAAACTGATGCCGAAAGATCGGCCTGGTCACATTTTTTTTTGGAGGAGGTTTTGAGGAGAACCGAGAGAGCGCGGTATATTATCATAAGAGATAAAAGCTTGACATGGTCCTTCTTGCTCTAGCCTCTAGCTCACCAAAATGCAACAATCCTTGGGTCCAAATTTCAAGCTGCAAGGTCATGACACTAACTTGAACTTAACCGTAAGTGTCAAGTTGATGTGACTCACCGTTTGCGAACGGGATCGCTGACTTGAATGCCCTACCCTTTGTTAGGAATGAGATAGCGGGTAACACTGATGGAAGAGAGGAGGAAGTCGCCAGTCATGGTGTAAGGTTCGTCAATGCGATCATTAATCGTCTCAAGGCTCATTATTGGCCAGTGATGTAGTTTAACGACAACTGCCACCTGAATCAGACTCCCTTCCTGCTGGTAAGAGAGCATGAGACAAGCGAGGAGGAGTCGATGGCTAGCCTCAAAGAGCGACTGCAAATGTGGCGGAATTAGGTTGTTTGATGTTGGGAGAACTATGTCAAAAGTACAGAGTTCGTTGGTTAGAGCAAAATTACCGGGCAATGGTATTGGAAGAGTATGCACCACCTGGGATTGATACTTGTTCTCCACGTCAGATGACGTGGGATACACCTTCTCCTATCCAAAGTAAATCCGATTTGCTCTCACCTCCAATAACTTCTGATCATCCTATTCAGGCGATGTCGAAGATGAATGGGATGCAGAAACATCGTAGCAATGTGTTCCCATGGAAATCCATGGTAGCGTGGCACTGGCAGGTGAAGTGAACTTGTGAGCCCTGAGGCCTGGACAATTAGCTGCATGATAATAGATGTTGAAAAGACACAGACCTAGATTTGAATGAGACTACTAGTAATAAGTAAGGGCGACATCAAGGCAATGTAATCGTAATCAGTAGTAGAACAAATGATCCAATTTTGGCCTCAGACCCTCCAATTAAGAGTTTAGGTATACTGTTTTACACGGTTGGTACTACTGCTAGCATTAACCAACTAGTCCATATATCAGTCATAAATATGTGTAAAGATTGAAGCCACCACTACGACCAGGTAAATGATGCCATTGCTAAACCTCGAAGGCCTCAGAGTCCTCCCGATCATTGTCTATGTCATGGTCATAGGAACACATTTCGTCTGTGAGAGGTGGTGGAATACATCGTTTGGAAGACGGCGATGCGCCTGCGTAGATATCAGTTGGTGAGTAACTCATGATCGAATCACGCCAACGAGTATCATCACGCAAGTCTGAGTCTGATTCACGGGCCTTTCCAATAGCTACTGATAAAGGTATGTCTCAGCTTGAGCACAGCACATCTTTGCCTTCAAGGTACCCAATTCCAACCCAATGTTGCGGGGGCAAGTAGGACCAGGAAGTGGCCATGACAGTAACTCTGTCTGACAGGCTTGTTCTGCATGCAATGCACTGTAGAACACCTCTTGGACATCGTCGGTGACCCATGTGCTCAACATGGGTAATAAGGATCCGACACACTTCGAGGTAACAGTGAGAACAGACGACATGAAATTAACTGCAATACTAACATTGGAAATGGTGGATGTGTGCCCATCTCTGTGTGAAGTAGTGAATTCGAAAGCTGGATTCAGGGTAAAGCAATCCAGAAAAGAGCAAATGTTCATCGAAGGTTCCACATCTGCAAGAGGGTAGGCATCTCGTCTCTTCAACCAAGCTTCACATTTTTCACGCATAGCTGCTGAACAAGTTAAAGGTAGGCGGGAATAAGTGTGTCTCAAGGTTGAAGTAGAGCTGGTGCCATGACAAAGTGAACATGGCTTATGATGAACTGCTTGTAGCGATATGGTTCAGACTACTGAAATCATGCATCAAAGCTGGAGGAGCTCACGAATCCAGTTCTGTTGCAAATGTTCGATGGCCCGGCTATACAAAGACACTTCCATTTGACTTCGTTTCTTTCTCTCCTCCATGAGATGATGCTCCAGCACCACATGCCTTTTCCCCCTCGGCTCATCCGCACAGATACTCTGGTGCTGTCGTAGTATTTCCTCTTGCTTCGCTTCTATGGTGCGTTCCCTGATGATTTCCCAAATATCACCAGTGTAGACCCGATCTTTCAGTAAAACAAAAGAACCCTTAAATCAGCCTGGAGCTTTACAAAACGGTCAGGAAGTGAAGTTGAATGCGAAATTATCGCTTAACTCGCCTTGTCATTTGCTATGAGTCCTATGTAAGCGTCCAGGAGTCCAATGCCTAGTAAGTTTGAAATTTTAAAATGTCTATACAAGCAGTCGAGTCGTCGAACAGCTGCAAAGTTGAATTTGTAAGACAGGTTGACATTGTGGGGAAAAATGTAGGTAGATAATCAGGTCAGTATCCAAGCTATTTGTAGCGGAGACCAAATCCCAATGAGGTACTGGATCTTATCTTTGTTCTACATAAAGTAAATGCAAAGCTGGCGAACAACGCCAGCCAATATGATCTGGTATGAAGGAGGAATGATTACCATCAGGCCCGAGGTGATAAGTATCTGTACCAGTCGCAGAGGCCCGAAAAAATAAACTGTCTGCATACTGGGCGTCAATAGTAGCAAAAGTCAGAGAAGGAAATCCACCTGCATTGGAGGTAATTTCCACTCACATCGATTACAAGAATGGGACTGGATGACCTGAATAAGACCGCAGATCGAGCTGATCAGCTTCAAGATGTAACTGATTGTTACTACTTGCATTGTCTCTTCCGGCAAATAGTCCAACGGTCACACGCACACTCAATAGCTTTCTAACAATTCTCCTGTTTTATGATGATCAAATGCGGAGTGTACTTAATATATAACTCACCCTCTTCAAGTTCGTCCATGGGCTGTGTGTTAACGCCCAGGTATACGACCTCGACAAGGAAAACTTGAGTGTTGATTATGGTCCTTGATCACTTTCATATTACACTTCACACAGCAGAGGGAAGAGAGACGTTAGTGGCATGCTGCTGTTGATCTGCGTTGATCTGGAGTCTGGACATTATTTTGATACTTTAGGCGGTGCAGAGACCAAAGTACAGATGTTTGAACTCCGCGCTATATTTTTTCACTCCACCTAAATTTTGAAAGTCACAACATATTCGAATTCCCTGCTAGTACTGAGACTGATGATTGATTATGTAGTAATCTGAGTGGTTGAACTTGAATGTCTTCGTCCCTTCTGCACTCCTGAACAGACATGGTGGTTCATCGCCGGCCTCAGTCCTATGCATTTGCACTTTTTGCAACTTTTGAACAGGGTACGAAACTCTCCTGCACTAATTCCATCGTCAGTAGACGAGGTAAGTTTGTTTAACAAGTCCGTTTGCTCCTGTAAGGTTGTTTCATTTGGAATGCTAACGATTTCATTACTTTGCAATCCATTAGTGAGACTGATGAAGCAGTGAAGCAAATCGTACCTCTTTGCGGGTACTGGAAGGCGGCCAAAGGCTCTTGCTGGAAGTGCGCGTTCATCTTCACTGGGTGCTAAAGGTTAGTGTGATATCTTGTTGTGCAAGAAGGCCACTGACCTTGGTATCCGCATCTATATGATGCACACTTTACTGTCCAATAAGCTGTTCTCACGCTTCTACTCCACCAAGTGCACATTGCCGCTTCAATGTATGCTTCTTTTTCTCCTCCATCTGCGCACAAGCAGCATAGATATTTAAAATTGTATTCTTGTCAGTGCTTCTCTAATCTGGATGGTGGAATCTTCTTCCCCTTGCCATCAGCTGGCCTGCGTCATTTTGCGCAAGTTATTGTTCTAAATTCGCACATTAATCAATGGACATCTCACCAGCACCATTTGACCATCAATTTTGAGGCACTGTCATAGTGCAACAGCGCGAAGCGGCAGCTCATGGCTTCTGCAATCATTTTTGCTAACTGTCGAGCATTTTCATGACAGTCAGGTGGGGCAGTGATAGTGGAGGAAGGTGAAGACAGCGGTTCCATTGGGTCACTTGGTGCAGCAAGGATGAGATCTCCCCCTACTTATACGAGGCTTCAAGTTCGGTTTTTGGGCCATGTACATAAAACATCATCACGAGCCTTTGGTGCTAGGCTATACTGGCGCCATTGAATGTGGGAACTTGGGACTATGGATCTGATGGCGAGTCGGGCCAGATCTCGCTGGCTCAAAGCTTGTTCTGTATGGAAACGCCAGTGAGTCCCTTTATTCTGATTCTTTAACATTGAGTTCAACTATAGAATTCCTTCAGGCCTCCCCATAATGGACCAGGTAGGATTATCGTCCAGTCGAAATCCTTTCAGATGCACCTGCGCCCATGAGTTTATGCAGGAGAACACGTATACCAAACATCAATGTTCGTGCACAAAGGGCAAGAAACGTTTGTTATCTGCTTTATCTAAGGCCAAAAACCTCCTAGGCTCCGCAAAACGGGCTCGAGTTGATGAAAATGGTGGCAGACAGCCTTCTAATAATCCTTCAATGCCGTCCGCAATGTCTCCCCCCCCTGCAGCATCGTGTGCAGATTCTTCCTTGCACAACGCACCCAACTCAGTATCTGATGTCATTATCAGCCCGGCACCCATGGAGACAGACGAGGGGTCATCCCTAGCGCAATGAAGGAGTCGACATGTTGGCGTACCCATGCCACGATGCTATAGACAGCACGATGATGTACTTCCACAACCTCCTCCGACTGTTCCCTGCAATCAGACTACCCAACAACAGGAATGTAATCCACCTGCAAGTTCCACCAATGTGTCTACTGTTCGTACATGTATACGGGATCCTCCTTTCTGTACAGTGAGAAATGTGTTCGGGCTAGTACGCCAATTTTTCTCAGCAACTCCCCCATCTCATGACCCCAAAGAAGTCACAAATCTCCGAGATATCTGCTCTATTCCATCTGCTCATCCAACAGAACAGGAAGTCCCTGCTGAACCTCGCGACATCTCATTTGATCCCTACCCCAATCGGAAGTCCAGATTTTGACCCTCATGATGTGTGAGCTATGCCATGGGATAAGATTAACTCGCAATTAGGTGTGAGCATTGATGAAGACGAAAGTGGCGAATGGGAGGATGCGGATGCGGGTTGGCGTAAAACACAAGTCACGATTGAAGTCCCTTTTTCTCATACCACAGCTCAGCCAAACGCTCAACCGTATGTCGCTACAGACCTTTACCATCGGTCTCTTGTTTCTGTTATTCGGGAAAAACTCGCAAATCCGCAGGACAACAAACTTTTTCATTATGAGCCTTACCAACTTCGGTGGAGCGCCAACCATCTTCCACGTGAAGTAAATATTCAAGGGCGAAGTTATACACTTCTCCAGGCATTTATGGATGCGCACATGAAAACTTCAGGGGTCACCTGCAGAGCCAGGATGCGATTTACCCCGGGTGGTTGTCGCACTCATGTTCTGGTCCGATGCTACACACCTGACAACTTTCAGCAAGCACGAAACTGTGGCCAATATATATGTATTTTGGGAATGAATCGAAGTATCGCTGGTGTAAACCATCGTGCAATCTAGGTAATCATGTGGCGTACTTTCAAAAGGTAAGGTCCCAAATTACTTTCTTATCCTGTAATGAAACTGATGTCTGGCAGCTTCCTGGAATCATTCAAGGATTTCGTAGGTACTTACACCCATGGCAAAGGAGTTGGCCGGGAATGTACAACACATTGCCACCAGGAATTATTCAAGCTCAATGGAAGGTTTTACTCGATCCTGAGTTTTTACACGCATACGAACACGGCATTGTGATCCTCTGTTGTGACAGCATCAAACATAGGTTTTACCCGCGAATATCCACCTATTCTGCGGATTACCCTGAGAAGTGAGTCATTGACATCATTTGTTCGATTTGCAACTTATGAAAACCAGGGTACTTGTCGCAACTATCCGGCAGCTGGGAGGTTGTCCTTGCCCACAATGTGTCATACCAACGGGACGACTTAACAATTTAGGAATGTTTCGCGATAGGCAGCAGCGTACGACTCTTGCACATTCTGATCACTCGAGGAGCCAGCTGGTTAAAACAGCACGCGGCTTCATCTACAAAAAGAATTACAGTGTTGACAGCACAGCTGTCGAGTCGCTTTTGAAGCCTGAATCATGGGTACCAACCTCTGTGAGCATGACCATCAACTTTTTGCTCGCTTTTACTAACACTTCATTAGAACACTTTTTCGGATTGCCTCGGTTCTTTTGGATTCAATGTGTTTGTCGCGCTCGTGGTGGATCTGCTGCACGAGTCTGAACTTGGAGTATGGCGTATACTTTTGATACACTTGCTAAGAATTCTTTGCACCTTCAACAAGGACCTGATCCATGAGCTTGATAAGAGGTGCACCAAATTTTTATCTTTCAGTATCACTTGATAAGCTAACAATCAATTGGCTGTTGATAGGTACAGGCAGGTCCCCCCATTCGGCTCAGCGACCATCAGGAGATTCTCTGCAAACACTTCCTGATATGTCCAACTTGGCTGCTCGTAACTTCGAAGACCTTTTACAAGTATGTATTCGGAAAACTCCCATGTCTTCGCCAACTAATTTTGTTTCAAGTGTTCAATCCCTGTTTTCGATGGTCTGCTTCCAGATCATCACAACAAAATTCTTATGGATCTTCTTTTCGTCATGGCCCACTGGCATGGATTGGCGAAACTTTGCATGCACTCCGACCTCACCCTAGAAATTCTCAACCAACAGACAACGGATCTTGGCGAACAATTTCGTGAGTTTAAAGCGAAAGTTTGCTCTGCATATCATACCCAAGAACTCGATCGTGAAGTCGACGCACGATCTCGTCGACAGGCAAAGGATGTGGCCAAACGGGTAGAGACAGGCAAGGTGAATAATGTCGGGCAAGTGACTGCGGCTCCACAATCTGAGCCAGGTGCCATCAGTAAAGGAAAAAGAAAAGCGAGTCTGGAGCAGTCCCAGGACATACCTGTGCCAAAGCAGCTGCGAAGGAAAAAGTCGTTTAATTTTCGAACTTACAAGTTTCACGCACTCGGAGATTACGTAGCCTCCATCCGTCATTTTGGAACAACGGATTCATACAGCACCGAACCAGTATGTCATGGCTCGCTGCTCTTCCTTACCCTGAATTAATTTCTTATTAGGGAGAACTAGAGCATCGTACGTCAAAAGGCAGATATTGTCGTACTGATTGAAAGGCCTTCGTTCGCCAGCTAACTCAGATCGAGTGTCGCCAGACACGTTTGCGCCGCATCAAGCAATGGCAACAACGAAAAGACTTCCATACAGAGGTGAATGAAATGACAAACGACCCCGAAGTACATCATTATATCGGCCAAAGCGAGAAGAATTATGATGATATTGGTCACTACCTCCGCAGCCACGCACATGACCCTGCTATGAAGGTAAGTGACTTCTCACTTGATAGACATTATTCTAAGCCGTGCCCCAGGACTTCTTTTCCCGATTAAAAGTCCATATTATTGATCGCCTCAATCCAGGGGACAAGTCAGCTTGTCTCAACCAAGAACATGACACCATTCTATTCAAACGTAACAGAATCTATCATCACAACATTGCCAAATTCAATTTTACTACTTACAATGTTAGGAGGGCGCAAGACATTGTCAATCCAAGGACGCCTCATTGCAACATTATGATGCTCAAACATCATGAGGATCAAACTGACAATAATGACAATTATTGTTATGCCAAAGTCCTCAGCATCCATCATGTCAATATTGTTCGTGTGGGGAACGTATATGAATCCCACCGATTGGAATTCCTTTTTGTTCGATGGTACGAATCCGTACGCATTCACTCATGGGAGACACATACCTCAGGCCGTGTTCGTTTCATGCCCCTGGCAGATGAGAATGCATTTGGCTTTGTAGACCCGGGTGTTGTTCTTCGGGCATGCCACATAATACCGGCCTTCTCCCATGGACAACGCGATCCCACGGAACACGGAATTTCTCCTCTTGCGAGAGATAAATACGATTGGCACAAGTTTTACATCAACAGGTAAGTATTCCTATTCGTTTTGGGTCATATTTACTGATAATTCAACTGTCTAGCTTTGTCGATCGAGACACGCTAATGTGCTTCCACTTTGGACTTGGAGTTGGGCATGTGTACTCCCACGACACAGAAAAATACCTTTGTTCAACTCAAGGGGCACCTCACCTTCCAACAATGCAAATGGGACATGGATATCCAGAAAGAGAAGAAGGCCTCTGGGACACCACCAACGGGGAAGCTCCTGACGATGGTGAGGAGGGTGAAGAGGGTGAGCATATTGCTGTCGAGGAGTTGAACCATTTTCAACAGGAGCAAAATGGAAGCACAGAGTCACTAATTGATGCTCTCGACGAAATGTTTAGTACTGACCATGCCTTTGATTACGAAAACTAGCCTAGCATACATTCAGTAATGTCACGATGGACACAAATCTGATTCTTCCTTCACAAGTCACACTCGTTGCTGGTGCCTTCAGCCAGCCTCGTTAATTTATCTATTATGGTCAGTATGCTATCATCAAATCCTGGCGCATTCAGCTGGCCATCAGTAATTTCTGGTGCATTATCAGTCATTCTGGCGCTGTCAGCTACCGAATTTAATTTTGTTAAGCGCGTAATTCAATCATTTCCGATTCCTGGTGCAGCCTTGATACCGATCTGGCCCATAGTGCGACCTTCACTTCAGTCATTTTGATCTCTAGCACAACCTTACTCCATTCTGCCTAGCTATCGTGATTTACCCATCTCAAGCGTCAAGCAGTTGGCTACAATCTCTACCATGCATCTGCCTATTTAAAACCGAGGAATTTCCTCGTCAGTCCCTCAAAGTACACCACCTTTTTCCATGGATATACATCGTGAGTTGACTCAATCTCACTGATGCCCTTTTCGCTGATGTGACTTGAGGGTAATAGTACAGCCCACTGCTCCAGTTTATCTGTACACACCTCAGTTGGGTCGTGTACTACAGGTTATACCACCACCTGTATGCCGACTTCTTATAATGCGTGTGATATCCGCTGATGCCTTTTTTCCAGAATGCCCAAGTTCGCCTCATCTATCCACCCTGTTGTTTATATCTAACTTATCATTTCAGCACCCTTTCGTTGATTTCAACGGCCCAGAATGTTTTATCCTCAGTGCTTATCTGGCGCACAACTACCGTCAGGTCTCTCCGATATATGTGAGCCATCTTCAAAATCAGTCACTTCATTTTATCATTCTGTAGTGTCCAGATTACATGTCGGTCAACAGTTTAGACGGTGTTCTACCCGTAGTCGGCACACTCGCAATTCCTCACCATGATGAAACACTGTTTCATACAGTATACGAAAAGCAGGTGAGAGCTACATCAAATTGGAAATAACACCCTGACAGGATGAACATAGTTTGGTGACGGTGATTTCCTTCGGGCTATTGACACCCAATTTTGCCGGCCAAACGGGGCAGGCATGATCATTCCAGTGTGGCAAGTGAGTTTTACCTTCATGCTAGTGTGCAGTGTTCTGTAGGCTGATTTTCATTTCCATAGCTCAGCAAGTTGAACGATACCATCTAATTCAACCCGGTGCCGTTCCCATATGGCTTCCCGCCTCCCATAGCGACCGACATGCCACCTCTTCCCACCCACTTTCAACCAAACAACCAACTGGCTTCTGTGTTCGCGCCTCCCGCCCTCCTATCAGTTGGTGGGCCAGCTTTGTCTGGTGACTTCGATTATGGATATGAGCAGGAAGACTATACCGTAGCTTCACTTGGTTACGCTGAAGATTCAGTCATCCCTCCACAAGACACAGAAATGGATGACAAATTATTTGGGCAGCTCGCTCCTACAGTCACGACAGTGTTTCATGACGCGTTGAGATGGACAGGCATCAACATTGCGATTAATAACGATGACAGGTCGGCAATCAAAGCCACGATGAACAGCACTTGTTGGAGATGCCCAATTTATTTAACGAAGTATTTTCTCTACGGTGCTTTCTGGCTTGGCTTGGGGAACCCATTCACCACCACAGAGAAGGAACAACGTGTCATACTCACCAATTGCTTCTTGAGCGCAATAGCTCATGATCAAACAACATTGCAAGAATTGGTCAACGAACCGGGTGAGCACCTTTCCTTGATTCCATGAGACATTTTTCATAGCATGGTCAGTAATCTTACAGCATGCAGTTGCACATTTTCCCAAGGGAACATCCATCGGATGGGAGGTCATTCATTTGCTTGTATGCTTTCCTCTCATCTTATTCTCATTCACTGACAAACATTCTGGGCAGTTTTCCAGTACCATCGAGAATAGACTGTCAGATATGTGTAAGGTAGTCCGGGGATGCATCAGACTCGACAACTTCTCTGGTGGTGGTACAGTTCAAGAACAGGAGGCGAGGATCAAAGCATTATTTGATTCTTTTAACTCAAGTGACCAACAGGATGTAAGTGGCAAGGCCAATGTGATATCATCATGACTTATGGTGACCTAGATCGAACAAGCTATTGCTGAACTTGTGGAACTGCATATGTTCGGGGAACTCATGTGGATGGCAACGTTCCACACTGTGATCGGCTTGGCTGAGGGTACCCACGATGGCAGGTTCGCTGACCTTTTTCCTCAAGAAGTTCGAGGGGAGAACTTGGCATTAGCAAAATGTTTTGCTGCGACTTTGCTAACCATAGTAAGTGTTTCTTAGTTGTTGCTTGTAGTGGTGAAGTCATCGCTGTATCAGATTTACCATACATTTCATCTTGGGCAACCCCTGAAGACCTGTGGCTGCAAACCAGGTGCCATGTATTGTATCATCCTAACTGCCATTACGCATATGTATGCAAACCCAAAGTAGTATCCCACATTTATGAAGACAATGGTTGGGTTGACATTCCTAAGGTCAGTGTTCTTTTCATGATCTCTGCATTGGTTTTTGATGCATATCGACATTCAGGGCTCCGAATGTGTTGCCCATGGACCCCAAGATCCAAGCCCCTAAAGTGTCCGCGTATGAGAAACGAGCGAGAACTGTAGCAGATTGTAGTCCCATCAAGCAGGTGGAGGTCAATTTACCTGATCTTCCCTATGCAGAGTTCACATCCATCCATTATGCGAGGATGACGGAGATAATCGACGATAGATGCTTCCTCTGACTTTGGGAATGTTGATCGGTTCGCATAGGTGTATGATACTCCCATTCATTTGTCGCACGAGATGTAGGATATGTACTAATTACTCACACGCTAAGCAATGTATGATCGTCATCGATGTATTCAACAACGTGCTATTCAGTGCACCGCTGAGATGAGCTGTGATGATCACACTTGATCATAGGGGGCTTGATGGACTTGAGCACCACTTTGTTTGATAGCATCTATCAGTGCACTGCCATGTCATGTTATTGGATATAGTGGTACACCAGATATTATCTACATTCAAGGTATGAATCCCAGTGAGGATTGACAACAAAGAAATAGATATATGTGAATAGAGAACAAAAAATTAGCCGCATGAAATCTGTTTGGTCTGTTTTGACGTCTTTAGCGAAATGAGAATTCGAGACAAGAGGTCAAGAGGAAATTAATGCTATCAGTGCAAGAGAGTGTGTAATTTGGTAACAGGAGGAGGGTGCAGTGGGCCAAGGAAAGCTGCGGCACACCGCATGCGCAGGTGTACAGGGCGGTCGCGGCATGTGGGAGAGGCACAAGAGACAGAAGCGCTGAGCCTCACAGGTATCTACTTCGAATACTGTTATGCATCAGTAAGAAGTTGCTAGTAGTGGACGATACGAACCTTTTTGAAACTTGACTTGCCCGAACAAATGTGACCAAGAATGGCAGCACGAGACGTAAGAGTGACTACGAGAATGACATTGTAGAGCTGCTGGGCAGGTTGCTTGAAGAAGGCCTCGAGTTTACTAGGGTAAGGGCATGAGATGATGTAGAATATGGAGGACTCGAGTACTTGCAGTTGGACATGAAGCATCAAAAGACAGCGGAAGGTTGGATATGGGATAGTTGGTGTGAGCGATAGCAAAATAAAGTGGGCGCTGGAGGGTGCAGTTAGGTGAAAGGAGAGTTCTGTGGAGGCTATAAGCTAGGGCACTGGCAGGTTCTTGAGGGTGTAGTCAGGCGAAGAGGAGAGATTCAGAGCCCAGAAATAAGGGGAAAATGGAGTAATGCACCAAGTAAGACAGCAGTATCCCAAAACACCACCTTCTCCTGGATGAAGTTGCTCAGGATGTCCCAACATACCAGGCTAAGGATGATTGCACCAAGTAGAATGATGACTAGCAATTTTGAGATGACGGTCGACGTCGTCCAACTAATTTCTCACACAGCCTAATTAGGCAAATATCGAATTGTTTATCTTTATTTGCCACAGCATTATAAGATCTGATTACGACAACTCAACAAACTCAACTACTTCGGGCGATCTTAAGGTACCACACCCCTGAATCAATTCTGCTGATCCCCCGCACATCATACAAACATATAAATGGCTCGCATACCACATACAGGTGCTCATGGACCGTTGCTAGTGAAAGATGGAAAAGTAGTGGTAAGTAACGTAAAATTGTATGACTGCCTCTGAGTAAGTGACAGATACGCATCAGATGGAAGTAGATAAGTGGTTGAATTCGGTAAGACCGCGTAGCATAATGCTTCCGGCGGCTTACTCGAATTATGCAGCAGTTTACCCAATCGGTCGTTACGCGGCCATCCCACCATCATCTGCATCAGGCCGCGGTAGTTGAAAAGCTCTGTGCAGCGGCAAATACAGTGAAGTCAACACTTTGGGTAAGCGCATGTCTTCATTCAAAATGTCAAGCATCCAGCAACTTTTTTTTAGCTATAGCCAATTGGATCTTCAAAGCTTCGCCAGTCATCACTGACGGACTCACTGACTCGGCCCATCTGTACTACCATCTTCGCCAGTCATTACTGACGGACTGACTGACTCGGCCAATCTGTACCATCTTTGCCAATCATCACATGTACCATATCATTTATGAGCTACAACTAGAACTACCATTTGCTTTGCTTTGCAGCTTTATACCCAGTACTACTTCTGTGCTAAATATAGAACACATCATCCGATATCCAGTAACTAGTAGTACAATGCTCATCTAATTTTCCTTCTGGTGACACATCTGCACTTGTTCTACGGCGTTATCATGTATTAGTGTTATATACTGTTATCATGACTAAATTAGTCAAATCAGCATTGCAGCGTGTTTGCTAATTATATACATGGTTCACGTTCAGGGTTGTTCCTAGTGGGGCTATTATAATAAAATGGTGTGAATAAAAAATAAAAAATCACATCATGTGAACCATGTTGACAAGTCAAATCATGGCCACGACAGTACGTTCAGCTTTGAAGCTTGAAGACTTGTACCTCATGCAAGCCCCCACAATCAACCAGCAGATAGAGTTTCAGGAGCACAGCATCCCTATCTGGCCCACACAGCTCCGGCGATACACCCAGATAACAATGCCGTGAGTGTATATCATTACTAGGATGAATTTATCAGGTACTGACTCGGGCTTTATTTGGTAGGGACGTCATTCCACATCACAACTATAACGTCGAGGCCATGCAGACTGATTGGGCTCAGTTTGTGACTTCCATTTAGCACAATATCAACTTAACCGCGGTTTTGACAGGTCTCAAATGCACGGTGATTGGGAAGAGTTGGACCATCCATCAGGAGCTATATACCACTATAACCCGAAAACGGTGAGTGCAGCTGGTATTCCGAGTTATATATTTTGATGGGAATACAGGAATCATATGCGGAAATCAACATGAGGGAATTTTCAGATGCACAGCTCCAGAGACTTGAGTCGTGGATCAAGGTGTCAAGATCCAAACTAAATGGCAGGAAATGGTTGCTAGTAGTCGAGCCGCTCCGAATGAGAGGAATAGACATCTATACATACTACTACGTGGTCCCGGAGAGAAGGGTCATTGCCTGGCTAGAACCGGTGGATGGCTATATTCTTTTCCAGGAATGTACGACGGTGCGGCACTGGAAACATAAAAGTATGTCAATTTTTTCGTTGTTTTTGTTATTGAACTTGTTTTGGACAGGACTCGAACTGGAAGCTCAATACTGGTGAGCTAAAGGTCACCATTCTGATGGAAGCAAATGTTTCTAATTGCACCAGGAAACACGTTGAGTACTTCCCCCACGGGATCGACATACCTCTCCAGGATGTCAGGACTTTGCACATTAAGTTGAATTGGTATCGCGTGGGTGAGTTCTTCAGTATTATAGCGTCTGACCAAGACAAACCTAAGGAATAAACAGAAGCATCCACCATGGAACACTCAATGGCGGCTTCAATATTTTGGAAACCCGACGAAATGAAGGAAATGGCCGCTGAGCTGGCCGCTGTAGGCACGCATGCTAATCTCAAGCTACATCTTCAAGTTGACGACCCAAACAGAGGACTTTGCAAGATATGATGGAGCTATGGATGGAACATGTACCGTCATCTATGGTACGTGAGCCTTGGAAGGACTGGAAATATAAATTTATCTTGAACAGGCAGATTAGCGTATATTCTCCGTATGATGCTATTTCTCATACCAGACATTTCCTGATCGAATATTCAAAGGCCATCACGAATACCTAAATCACCATGGCCAACCCGAAGCGCGCTTGATGCGAATGCACTCAGTGACCGGGAAATGTGGGCCCCTCAAAAAGTCTCCCTTCCTGACTGGCGCTGCAGTCGCTATGTTTTGGATTCCATTCATAATGCTAGACCGTCTTAAACATGTTTATGTCGATGGCCTCATAAATGGGGTGGACATCAGGAGATTTACTGATGATTTCAGCACCCAGGCCAAAGCTCAAACTACCGTGGTGAGTGCTACATCGTGACCTAATTGAGAACACTTACTATTTGTCTGACAGGCAAGTGTCATTATGGCGGTCAACGCCAGCATCCTTGCAGTTCCAGGTTTAGGCACACAACTGGCTACGAAGGCGTTGTGTTCCATCTCTTTCGTTCTCTGTGTCTATTGCATCGTTGGGTGCATGATTGCACAACAATTGGTTCAGAGATTGAGATACCTTGACTTTTCAGTGTGATCAGCTTCATTTTTTTTGTTTGCAGCCTGGTCTGACAATACTGATTGGATAGGCATATTACTTACAAGAGGAGATGGGCACTTTTGCAATCCTTGCGAGTATACCGATGTTCACATTTCTGATGAGGTGAAATAAGGTATTCATCGCGATGAGTCATTACTTACAGACGCACTACAGTTTGGCATTTGCCATCATTGGAGTTCTAGCAGGGATCTTCACCGTTGGATTTGGCCTTCCCTTGTCCACAAGGATCGGATGCGGGCTGATCCTCATTGTTGGGGGAGGGCTTGTGATTCCATTGACGATGGCCAGCTTTGGGCCTGGACTGATCCAATGATGGGGTTCAATACCCTTGTGCACCACATAATAAACACTACTATGTTGCTACTATGTAGTCCGATATTGGTCCAATATACATGAGCGCCTCAGCTTCCACGTGACACTGTTTGAGCTTGTGTGTGAACTTGAAGTTGTCGCCATGGAACGTGAGTGCACACCAGATACAACTGCTCAACCGTCTGCCAAAGCTCTGGTTCCTCACTGATGTGACCAGTGAATCTCATCAAGATTCGGTTGAACATACACGATACAGGACAATTGATTTACTATCTGCAGTAGCATGGCAGGTAAGTCGCCCTTAGCAGATTCATATTGAATTTACGTGTCGACCTGTCCACCAGAACCAAATTTCACATCGAACCTCATTCTCATGCGCGGATAGTACCAAATGTCAAGCTCTCCCTAGATCCATATCAGGGTCTACTACTTGTGGTACCGGGTTTGAAGTGGACTCGTCCTGGAGGATAGAAGGCAGCCTGTGTGCTATGTTATGAACGCGTGTGCAGACGCTAGTTCTCTTCCGTGAGTTTAGTCACGGATCTTTAACATTCTACGAGGATTCAATGCCCTATGATAGTCAAAATATGAAGCAATTATTTCAGTCCTTTCTTGTATCCTGATTATTTGAACAGAAATGCCAGTTCTCTGTACCAGGGAACACTACCATCCTTATGGCCACGTTTTACCTGACATCTGTCCTCATTCATGCATTGTGTGCTTTTACATGTTGATGGCCGGTCAGCTGGTGGTCAGCTGATATTATGACTCTAGAGAGCGAAAAAGGATTTGCATAGAGGTACGTATACAGCAATCCTTGCCCTCTGATTGGTCTCATAACTATACTTATCCATGGCAGTAGCCTCGCAAAGAATTCATATGTGCATCTGGGATCCACGTACTCATCAGTTTGAAGGAAGCAGTGAAGACACTCAGACAATGTCACTTCCATATATCTTCGTCCCACTTTGCCTCCCCTTTCATCCCTAGATATCACAGTTGGTAGCTTCTTAGAGTATCATCATTTGTTTCGCTGATTTAAGTTGAGCAGGACCCTCCGGCTCGCACTGTCCTTGGAATGCCGCTCGTGGAGAGATCCAACATTTGAGCTGCTGGTAGGCTCGCTATAACTATGTCACCCTGTGTCACTATTTCGTTGTTCCCGTATGGGAACCCAATACACGTGAGTGACCTCGTTTCCATTGTGAGCGATCACTGATCAGACTGCAGTTGCCGTCAAATATGCATTGCTGATTGTCAAGTGCCTCCGGTATGACAGACTGCTACAGTCCACGGCCCTATTCGTTCTGAGCGATCTCTCATCCAGTTTAGACTGGGCAGTCATGGTTGCGAATGAGGTGCCAGCGGCGACTCGTTTGACCTTCGTCTCACTTACGAGTTGTGATGCCAGTTACCGTGTAGAGAACCTCACACAATCCACTCATGTACGTTCCTCTTCACTGGCCCTGAGTTCTAAAGAAGCATTGATGTTGGCAGACTCGCTATGGGATGTGAATACTTCTACATACTTCTCGCTCCTATGTAGCTTCGACAGCTGGAGGAGAAACATGAAATGTTGAACCTCATCGAGTCATCCATTTTTCCTGACCTCAGAAGCCAATCCTTCCATTCCGGTAAACAGCTCACACTAGTCACGCATCATCACGAAGGAGATCATGCGATTAAGGCTCCCGATGGCACCACGCTAGAGCATTTCCTATCCTAGGTACAACGCCGTGGACCACCTGTATTGCTAAGCCCTCTTCTGACTGCAGAGCGTGTTACTGCTGTAGTACAAGGTACGCAGTATACATCAATGATGTCACCTATCTGATTGTTTTGTTTTGAAGGTAATAAACTACTCACCAACTTGGTAAATTGTGCAAGATGCAGACTCTTGGTAGATGAGTGCTATTGGATGCGCAACCTTCAGTGAGTTTTTTTGACAGACTTGCTGCTTGCACGTCCCGGCTCGCTCATTAGACATTAAATAGACGGGCAGATTACCTGGCACGTAATAACCCATGATACATCCCGCGTGTCTTTGCAGACTGAAACCCTTACTGTTTGCGCACTGCTCAAGCTTGTTCTTTGTCCACGATGGGGAGCTCTCGTAGAACCATGTCACCATACTTATTCTTTCCCACACTTTCTTTATTCATATATATTCATTTAACGGCTTGATTATATGAAAGTTGTACAATTTATTAATGACCACATGCTGTAAATATTTTGAGGGTGTTATAACTTTTGTTGAGTACTTCCTGCATGGGTCATGACGATTGGCAATGACCTTTACTATATAAATATGAGGAAATGTTGTAAACCATGACTTGTGACTCCTTAGCACTGCAAGTGTTCATCATGCAGGCAAGCTCAGACAAAAGGTGACCGCTATATTGGAGAGATGCCATACTTCCTTCAATAGTTTATCTATGAGGTATCACAGTTGTGAGACATATATATTTTCATCAGAATTATGATTTTCTTGCAACTTCCTGTAAACCATGATTTGTAATTCCTTGGCATTGCAGTTATTCATCATGCAGGCAAGCTCAGACAAAAGGTGACCACTATATTGGAGAGATGCCATACTTCCTTCAATAGTTTATCTATGAGGTATCACAGTTGTGAGACATATATTTTTTCATCAGAATTATGGTTTTTTTGCAATTTTCTGTCAATTGATACTGTCATGCTAACACGCATGCATGACTTTGCCTTTCTATATAATTTGTGTATATTTGATTTGATCTTATCAGAAATCTCTATAAAAATCATGTCCAGCCCAAATTCCTGATGTTCCTTTCCCCAGGTCTTGCCAGATACTCATGAGTTGCCACGTCGGCCCGAAATCGTGAGCATCCCTAATTTACATCAATCACGAATGATTGAACTGATGAGAATCCGCAGAATCTTATTTTAGTTCGGGCAGCTTTGTAAAGGAAGCAGAGCACGCTCCATTCAACGGACCAGAGAACATGCCTGATTATCTAACGATGTTGACTCACCCTGGAGTACTTCCTCATCACCCAGATCTGAAATAAAATTGCATTTGCGCCATTCAACGAAACATCTCGTTAGAAAAAGGACTGGTCAGAAATGCGCGCGTGCGCGTCACCGCACTCCACCGTCGATTCGTCGAACGAAGAACAGGACTGTGCAAATATCGTGTTTCTTCACTTGCTACTGTAAATACAAATTGTCGTCGAAGAAAAGACCGAAGGCGTGTCCTTGTAAAATTACATTGGATATTTGTACACTTTCACTCAATGTTCATTCCAAACGCGAGGAAATGCTGGTTGTTCAAGCATACCCAATTCTTCCGGGGACAATTGCGAACGCAGGGCCCCCCTTCGCGAACATCTTCCGCATATCTTGAACAAGCTCTTCCGGGTGTTCAGTGGCAGCAAAATGGCCTCCTGTCTTATGATGGGACTCAAAAACAACGTTGTGCGACTTGCGCAGCCACCTACAAACTCATATTAGCTTCAGCAAAGTTGATTCATAGAAACGCACGCTGCGGGCAAAACTATAAGTTCCTTCGGGAAAAACGATGCTCCCATAGGAATAGTAGGATTTTGGCCTATATCCTCGCAATAGTCACGCAATTCAAAGTAAATGCGAAGGGAGGCAGCGGGTCCGTCGCGGGAGAACCAGTACAATGAGATCCATGTCAGCACTATTTGAAACAGTTGAGCGATATCCAAACAAAAAAATATTGCTGTTACCTTCATCATCAGACCAATTGTAATTGTCGGTCCAAAGGATCAGTTTCTCGTAGATACAAGCAAGCAGGCCAACAGGGCTATCGGTGAGACTGTAACCGAGTGTCTGCGGCTGGGTGCTCTGTTCGCTCAAGTAGCCTTGTCCTTTGGTACGGAACCACGTGGTACGTTCGATGCCTGCTTTTTCCTCTGTAGACCATGGGGTTAGCAAGAAAGACAAGAAAAACAGGGGCGATCTCCAGCTTGGTGGTTTGGCACTACATAGACGAGAATGAGTCGAGGTGTGTGCGGAGCGAGAAAATGACATACAGTGGACAGTTGGTATGCCATGCCTTGTGATGCCTCCCATCATACACAGAAGCCATTCTCCTGGTAATCTGAGGATATATTAACGATAAGTCAGGTCTACTTGTAAAATATGACACACAAGGCTACCCCAGTCACCTCCATGGGTAACTATAAGAGAAATGAATAGATTCGTTGATCCATTTGAGGAATTACTCAGTAACGTACCATACTCGTCGTACCCGAGAGCGACCATGAGTTTGTGAGCTACTTGGGTACACAGTCAATATGTAGAGAGATTAGAATTTGTAACGAATAGTAGTCACCTCAGCATACTGATCAATAGCAAAGCCTTGTTTGTGAGGAGCCTCCGAAAAGCCGAAACCGGGCAAACTAAGCGCCACAACATGAAAGCTAGGATGTTCAGGGGCCGATGAAGTCAGGAGGGGCAAAACCTTCCCGACTTCCAAGAAGCTTCCAGGCCCTAGTTAAGGTTAAAATATGTTGGTCTGCGAGCATGCAAATTGACATACATCCGTGGCAAAACAACAGCGGAATAGCGTCAACAGTTTCGCTCTGCTTATGAACATAATGAATATTCAGCGCGCCGAAACCATCCATGTCAATATCGCGTGTAAACATTGGTAGTTGCTCATTGATTTCTTTTTCATATTTGCGCCAGTCGTACCCGTTTTTCCACCTCTCTGTGAGCCGTTTTATATCCGCCAGAGGTGCACCATACTTCCACCCGGCATCCTCCAGTTCATTCGGGAAACTAGCGAGTTCGAGTTTAGCACGGAGGATAGTCAATTTCTCGTCGGGGATGTCGATTTGGAAAGAAGTTTCAGCTGACATGGTGGTCAAAGCGCAAGTGAGAGATGCTGTGGTTCAATAGGAGGTACTCCATAAGGAAACTTTAGTAGGTTTCGGTAATTAATCGGTCGCTCCACGGATTCAGTGGCTGTCGTACTTACCGCCATTCGCCCTCAGTCGACGGTAGGATGTTTTCTTACTGGTATTACTGGTATTCTCTGCCAGAAACAAAGTAGAAAGTTGACTCGTCTACTTCTCTACCTCGTACTCTTGCAACGCGGCAGGAGGATATGTCGGGTCAATCTACTACTTTTTTGAATAGATGAGTTCCATTAGGTTAGTTTCAAGTTAGGTTTTGAAGATTGGACCGCGTCAACACGATCATGTGAGTGTGAACATTCAATATTATTCAAATATTCATTTGCCATCTTTCTACAAAGCTTTATGAATACGCTATGCAATCATGATGCATGATGCATATGTCCGACGGGTCCCCAGGCTGATTCATTTCTGACCAAATGATGATTGATACGCATCTGACCAACACATTTCAAACAGTCACCAAAGATAAACAAGCCCTTCTTGCTTCTCCAAGAATTGAATACGTGTAATGGACTGTCCCCTGGGACCTGCACCCAATGTCACAGTGTTTTACCTCTGAAGTTCTGAACTGATCCAGTAGATCTCGAAGTCTGGGATAGACCCTAGAAAGATGCTCGGGCTTATTCCACGCCCAAAAAGTGGATATGACGTCGATGAGGAGGACAGTCGGAGTAAATAAAGGCAACAACATGCAAGGTGCTCATGAACACATTTCTTCAACCGTAAAGGCTCGCTCATGAAGTCACAGAGCGAAGCGTGATAGATTTCAACGTGTCCGAGGCCATCATTAACAAAATGACGGGCGAAAATGCTTCAAGCGTCGCAGCGAAGCTTGTTTTATCTGTATAGTTTCCGGTGTAGCTAGATGGATGATAGTAGACACTAACATTTGGCAGTGCGCAAGTGGATCCTCGGAGGTTGCAATGATTTGCTGATAAAGTTGATCAATGTCAGCACAAAACGCCCGCCAGAAAAGACCAACGTCTCAAATTCATCCTCCGATGGCCAGGAGATGGTTGGCTGACCGAAAATAGCGGGACGAATTGTCCGTGTTTTATCCAACCATTCTAGGACATCCCGTATGGTGTCTTTATCACGAAAATCTTGTGGGCGCTGAGGGCATGACTGCCCGGATATGTTCCTCAGGGCGGCTCATGAATATTACATGGATGACCGGGAAGGCTGGACCTGTGAGGGCGTTTGTCAACAGCGTGACAGGTCTTGCCGCCTCTTCCGAAGGAAAAAAATTGTCGAGAGCATCGACGATGCATCTGTTCTGCCGCCTGCGTGGAGTCTTCCAGGTGACAGGAGGCTGTCCAACGACATTCTTCGATGAGCTGCAGCACGGGAATAAGCCAGGTGAGATACCTCTCAAGCTCGCCCATCGTTATATGACACTGACATGAGCTGGCATGTACGTGACAACTTAGGCTGCACATGATAAGTTCTCACTGGGAACTAGAGCCTGGCGAGACTACATAGAAAAATGTATGGAAGTTGTATGCGGATGTCGAACCGCGGTCAGGCCAACGTGCCGGTGTCCAAAAAGCCCCTGATCCCGAATCAACATGGGGCTCGCGCACACATTGCAACGTTGATCGTCCAACACTGACAAAACTCATGACCATCAACAATTACATTTATATATTCTTCAAGTTCGAGTTAGAACGAAGTAAATTACTCGTATCCTTCGTCCCAGTGAGATCTGAGATACCTCATGGACACGACATCAATAAAGCATATGTATACCATACCATAACAATGTGCATGAAACGAAAGCGAAGATGAAAAAGAAAAAAAAATGCGAATAGTCGAGCATGCACGTACGAAGGGTCCAGTATCCAAAGTACCAGCAAACCAACCCCATTCCGCACGTGTGTCTATCCCTGCAAACGATTAAAACCAGGAAGAGAAAGAGGGAGTCCCTTTATCATCACAACATCGATTTAACTGCCCCACTGCGCCCACGCGCCAGGCAACCCGCGGCGGCGCTTCATCCCCGCACGCGTACGAATACCAGTCCCCCCAATCTCAGACGCTGAAAGTGCGCCGTTAGCGTTCCCGTTTCCATACCCATCCCCTTCATCGTCGTCTTCTTCACCTACGACCCACCGACGGCCTCTACTTGTGCCCCAGGAGTCGTCCAGCCAGATGTGTCCTCGGGAATCTGGTGCGAAAGACGAGAGTTGGCCGTTGATGGTGCTATTGGTAGTGCTGATGGTGGTGGATGTCGGAGGCTGCCCCCGGAGGCTGCCTGCTGTACTGGGTGGGTGAAGATGTTTTCGGAGACTACGAATGGAGGCTTGGCGTCTAGCTGGGACAAGTATCCTTTCCTAGGTCTAGTTCTCCTTCGTCTTCAGTCGTCGTCCACATCTTCAGAGGATGAGCTGGAAGAACACGGGCCTTCCTGTCTATAGCTCGCGGAGGGGTACCTGCTCATACTCCACTCGTCGTTCTCAACCCTCGTACGGGCTAATGAAGGAACCATATCTGATTCTTGCGTTTCCCCTTGCCCTTTCCTTGTCCTTTCCTTAATTCTTCCTCCCGCTTGTTCCTCCTCCGTCTCTCGTCGTCACGTCTATGTCTCGATTCATCGTATTCAGCACCGGTTCTACGCACCCTCGATCCCGCACGTGATGCAGGCGCAGACCTACACACGACGCTCGTCTGGCTCACCTTCCCCTCAGTCGTACCTGCACGCTGCTCCTGCACCTGTGCGCATAGCAATGGTGGCCGTCTCTGTTCCTTGGGTCTATTCGTCACCTCTGAGAACGTCGAGTTCATTTTTCGCGTAGAGGCAGTCTCAGGCACACCAGAGAGAAGGGCTTTAGCGACGGATTCCATCCAGTTACGAGGGAGCGGTGGAGGATCGTCTGTCTCGATGATATCGTCTGATGTGAGGACCACGTTTCGACGTGAAGAACGAGGTTGTGCGTGGGGAGTGCGATGGGAACGGAGGGAGACGTTCGATGAGGAGGGGCGTTTAGCTAGGGGTTGAATATTCGGTGCTGATGCCATATGCCGGAGGTATGCGTGAGCGTTTGGAGCATCTTTGGAAAAGTTGGATGAAGATTGATGAGGAATGTAGGCATTTGGAGCGAGAGACTGGCCAGGGGTTTCAGGGAATAGGTTGCGTGTGGCATGAAAGCGAGAATGCTTGCGAAGGCTTTCTGGCGATGTATTGAAGGAATAGGAAGATGCGGAAGATGATGGGTGGAGAGCTTTGATGTGTGCAAGCGGCGATGGTGGTTGAGAGTGTAAATCTTTGCTGGAGATCGGTTCCCGTGCCATACTCGAATTACGGCTTACAAGGCCGGCGAGGAACCCGACAACAGTACCTACGCCACCACGCACATTGCTCGTGTGCTTATCGATTGCATGATCTGTATGTCGCTCGGATTCTGGTGTAAAGACGCGAGTCTCTTTGTAACCGGCCTCACGAAGGAGATCTTCGAGTCGCTCATATGTCTTGGAGGTCCCACGGCGATGCAAGGGGACGCGAGCTAGCGTGTCAGGGTAACGTGTACGACCTCTTGGAGGTGTAAAAGGCTGGCTTGCATGTGATGATAGCTCGGAGTCATCTTGTGAAGTGGACGCGTTTGTCTGCAATGACAGTCGATGAGCTCAGCAAGCCTCCTCGACGAAAATAAGAAGAGCACGCACAGAATCGCTGGTCTCGACTACGTTTGAAGCGTGCATGAAAGAGATCCTTCTCCTTTAGATGACTCCTCTTTATACTAACGGGTAGTACCCCCCAACGATTCCTTCCACTTCCAGGTTTGCGATGTAAGAATGACTGACCAAGAAACAGTGGGCCAATTAGAATTTACGGTCACAAGCCACACAGCAATTTCAAAAAATCAGTGCGGCACTAATCATTTTGGATCATCGCTTCATCCTATGCTCTACTAAATGGGCGGCTATTAACTGTGGTTACGGGGGCGTTGCATTTATCTTCACACTCGGCGAACACTCGCACTAACACTTGATAGGCTAGTCGCATTAGCCAAGGCACGTCACTCGAGACCAGTCACACGTAAGTTGATATGCATGCATGTCATGTCATAATGTACTTGGGGATACATAGCAATGGAAAACAAAAATATGAAACGGCTCCCAAGGCGCTCACTACAGTTACCATCAGCTAAAGAACCCAATGAGAAGCAAAGTGACGTACGAATTGGAGCGCAGCACCCTTTGTCTTTTTCTCACCACCGAGCTCGAAGCTTCAGGAGACAATTTAGGTTTGTACATGATGCGAATAGAACAGAGACGTACTGTTTGCAACGCTTCAATGAAAGCTGCATCTTGTACTTGCACACTGTGCACTCCAGCCGCAGCACGACCTTCTTCGTTGTCTTTGCCTACATCCCCAAACCCAATGAGTAGAATTCCACGCTCCCACAGCACAGAACACACCTTCTTGTGGAAGACAGGTTTAGTCTGACCACCGTATCCTGATTGCTTACGGTCGTAACGACGCTTTCCTTGAGCGAACAGCGAATCTTTGCCCTTTTTGTATTGTGTCACTTTGTGGGGCCTGCATAGTGTTCTCAGCAGTCCTAATCCCATAAGCTCAAATCATGAACATACGTGTGCTTCTTGCACGTCTTGCCCTTGCAGTCTACACACAACCATTAACTTTCGCGAAATCATGACAAGAACATAGGTTGCTCACAAGTCCGGCGAGTCCTTTTTAGCAGCAATTCATGAGTGATTCTAAAGCTAGTGAATGGGACTGGCAACGTACTTGGGGATGTTGACCATGGTTGTCGGCGTCGGCGGTGTCTTGGGCTTGAGGTCGATGATAGTAGCGTAGATTTCCGTGTACGGCAATCGCCGGTACTATGCAGTTTATACAATTAAGATTCAGGAGAATCCCGAAGGTTATTAATGACACGTGATAAGACGCGTCATGATGACCTCAGTCACCTCACGCGTCTCCCAGTAATGATGACATCGATTGATGCCAGCTATGCTATATAACTCGCGATGAGTTCTCCTGTTTTGCGCTCCAATCGCGATGACAGAACAAGTATTTCGCCTTATTCCCGCAACACAGAATTATCCATGGGGGAAGAAAGGGAGCAGTTCACTGGTAGCTCAGCTCGCTGACGGCTCAGGTATACCAGATTTCAAGGTAGATGAATCAAATTACTACGCAGAGGTTCGTGGTCCTTTTAAAATAATATGTACGCAGTTTAACTTTCCATAGATGTGGATGGGCACTCACCCAAACGCACCCACACGAGTTCATGGCACCAAACAGCTGCTCTCAGAGCATCTCGCAGCCCATCCGGAACTCATCGGAGAATCCGTAATCAAGCGGTTCGGTTTAGAAAACGGACAAATCCCATTCTTGTTCAAAGTCTTGTCTTTCGACAAGGCACTCCCTGTGCAGATTCATCCTGATAAGCACACTGCGGAACACGTACACTCAGAAAATTCCAGGGCGTGCGTAGGTAAGGCCTCGTTATAATATGAAATACCATATGTCAAATCAACGCAGACTCGAACCATAAAAAAGAAATGACTCTAGCGCTTTCAAATTTCAGCGCTCTCTGCGGTTTCCTCCCAACATCTCGAGTATCCGAGTTCCTCGCCTTTGTCCCAGAGTTCGCCTCCCTCTTCCCAGCCGATATCATAGCACACTTCACATCAGTGGCATGTTCTCCTGACGAATCAGGGCGCAAAGCAGCGCTCAAAGACTTGTTATCATGCTATGCACAGATAGATAAGGCAGAAGCTGCGGCGCAACTCAAACGTCTCGTAGAGAGGTATCAAGCAGACAAAGAATCAGACGAAGAAAAGGATATAAAACCGCTCGTTTTGCAGTTGCATGATATGTACCCCGACGGCAGCGACGTCTTCTGCGCTTTCATACTCAACCACTTCAACTTGAAGCCTGGACACGCATTCTCCGTTACCACCGGAGAGCCCCACGCATACATCACAGGAGGTGCGAAATTCCCTCTCCTAATTGCACCAAACAAAATATAATAACTTGTTCCAGACATAATCGAATGCATGGCAACGTCTGACAACACTATCACCCTTGCTTCCTCTCCCCCATCCCACCTCGACTTCCTCTCAAATGTCGCATACAACCCAACCCCAGGCAAAACCTTGATCCAACCCACCATGTTCACCCGTGGGAGCACATCGACGGCTGGATCACTTCTTTACAACCCGCCCATCAACGAACTAGCAGTGATGCAAGTCATCGTGGCGAAAGGAGGTGTCGAGAGCCATCGTGAGCTGAGAGGGCCGAGTATTGCTGTTGTGGTTGAGGGCGAGGGGACGGTGGTGTGGGCGGAGGGGGCGAAGAGGTTGGGATTAGGGAAGGGGCAGGTCGTATTCATCGCTACGGGGACGGAGGTTAAGTATTCGGCGTTTGAGACGGCGTTCAAGCTTTATAGGGCTTTTGTGGAAGTTGCTTAGTGTGTTTGGGATGGTAGCGTCGGTTCGATTTTGATATTTTTGCCTAGCCTGTGATCTGTAGAGAATCATCATTTAGGGTTGCATCTATTGATGATTATCCTTGTATCATTGTCGATGGAGAGACCTCTCTCCGCTCAATGATGATAGAAGGATGATCAGGCGATGTGATAGTTAGTGAATGAGAGCGCAATGGAATTTGGGTTGAAGGACCGACTCGATGAATGTTGATGACCATTCTTCTGTCACAGTTGGTGGTACCTAGTGATGTGTCTGCGATACAAGGATGATCAGGTAGTATGATAGTTGGTGAATATGAAAGTGCACAAAGGGGCCGACTCGAAGGACGATGAATTGTAGTAGAAGAGACTCGCTGGGGAATGTCGTCGTCGTGCAGGTACCCAGATTCAGGACTACCACGGAGCCGGCACCCTCAAAACAACAGGAGACCATAATTAACAAGGAACGATCGTCTTCCTTCTATATGGTCTGGCCAGGAGAGGCTAGCAGGACACATCCCCTCCCTGAAAAGTTAACAACTCGGCTCTTGCATGATTCAAAGACCGTCAAAATGTTCAACACTCATTTCCAATCCTCACCGCACATCAAATAAGCAACAAAACTTAGATGAGTGGCGACAACGGCCTGAACTTGAAGCGCCCAGAATCTCGACAGTTGAAAAACGCTAGCATCGAGTGGATATACGAATACGCCTCGTAACTGGAGATTTGGCTTTCCTGGTTGTGATGGATGCGATTTTCTCGGTGCTGCAGAGTCTAGAGTGTAGATATTTTTCTACAGCTAGTGGAAGCCGATAGTGGGTGATGGGTGATAGAAGAAGACGAAGACGAAGAAAAGGAATCAGAATCAAGATGAAGGCCGTTAACTCAGGGGTCCAAGGTGTCTTGTGACAGTCATGGCCAACTTGTATGCAGCCCATTTTGACCCCTCTACACCCGAGAATTCATACCATAGCAATTGTCAGTCTGAGGTCGATTTGCTACTAAGGGGACTATCATGATAGGTACTCACCGAGAAATAAGAAAGGTTTCCTGTTCTTTATTGCGAACTACCGTGACCCAAAATAGGTACTGACACTGAAAAATTTGAAAGGTAGGAGTGCATGAAATGAGAGTGCACCAATGGCCACGCAATGGAGTGAGTGATCGCATCAAAGAGTCCTATCGGAGAGGTAAGGAACCGAACAGCGACGGTTATTAGTCAGCAAGAATTGCGGTAGTAACGCGGCTTCGACGTCTTCGACTACTTACCCTAGTACTTCCAGACCATGAACTCATTCAACTGGTGAACTGTTGCGTCCGAATGATTGGACTACTAGCATCGATAGGTCGTAGAAGGCTCACTATAACAAATTCATGCGTCGCTCTCCCACACACCATCTTTTCAGCGAGGTTGGCAGGTTGCGTTCTTTTAATCTCGATTTCAATCGATTTCCCAACTGAAGGACTGGCTTTGGAAGGACTCCGAGTCAAGGACGCAAACACACCCAGGGAACCGTGTAATCTGCATAGGGTAATTCTGCATCATCACGATTTACATGCGAGGAACGGTCCTCTACGCATGATCCGCAGCTTTGGGACGCGAAGGAAGGTTTGAAGCACCTGTTACTGAACAATAATACGTTGGTCATCACAAGCCTATTGAATGGTCTTTCAGAGTGGTTTACCAGGAGAATGGTGAAGGTGACCCGCCTTGTTCACGCATATGATGTTAGTCTTGCAATGGCCCGTACCCCGTAGTCCTGGGTATGTTTCGAAATGAAATATCATCTTAATCCGTTAATGCGTCAACATCGACATTATCATTCCTATGGCCCCACACGTAAATGATTGTGTTTGCTATGCTCGAGGGTATCATACTGACGCGACATTGTCCAGATGTGCAGCTGGTCGTTGCCGCTTGTGGTCGTTCTGAAGTTATGAAGAGAGAAAAGGTACGTGATTTGACCACCTGTCCATATAGTCTGGAAGCCAAAGGGCTTCAAGGCGGACATTACAACTCAAGCAGAGTTCTTGCGGGGACTAATGCGCATCCATGTAACATCTGATTCTTGATTCTGTATGTAGCAAACGGAACGATGGATGTGATGCTGGCTGTTTAGTCATGTTCAATCATCGTGTGGATGTACTTGTTCGTGAATCATGAAGGTCACCGTCGGATAGTGACCGTGTCTCACTTGACGTGCCTTTCAGTGCGGTATACCCGAATGTAACATCGACTTCAGTGAACTCATAACTAACCTCGTCTGTGTTTATGTTAGTGACTAGCGGTCGTGTTGATATCACATGAGGCCTTGAGGTTTGACTAAATATGTATAGAACCAATACATTTCGCTTGTCTAGCTTCTAATGATATCACGACAGTGAGGCAAGATATGGGTATCATTCAGTAGTGAGTGTTATTCAAAGGGCCAGAAGCATGAACCTCTTCCACTGATTCAAGTAATCCACTACGTCCTCGGTTTTCACAATGTTAGAGTTATAATCAGCACTAAGCTCGATCACGCCCCCCCAAGAGGAGAGACGAAAGAATCTAAGGCTCCGGTTAGTGATCGCATCAGACAAACTTTACTGCGACGTATAAAACTCACGGGCCAGGATCAACTCTGTTGACAGATGTGAAGAACTTGGTCACCGAAAGGAGCGTGTTCCCAGCGTCGTCCGCAAAGGTGGAGTTCAAATAGTTTTCACCTTTGCCGTCACTGGAAAATGAGTAACACTGATTGGGCGGCAGCCTGCTATGATTTAAAAAAACGTAGATGATTCGTGCTCCACACGTACATGTCTGCTTTCGCAGCTGGCACAACGGCAGAGGCGAATACTTCGCCGACCCGCGGCATGCAACTCAACGCAGCCGGTAATTCTACGTGAGCTCGATACTGTTCCTTGGCTAAGTCTGCCACCTTTAGAAGCATGTTCTTGTCCAAAGGGAGGACACCTCTGTCTGGAGACAAGAACGCTGACACCGGAATCTTGGCCATAAAAACACCAAGGATATAACCTGGATGTAGCGAATACTTTGAGTCCAATCGCCCTCGGAAATTAGCCAGAGACATGTTGTTCAAGTAATGTGACGAAGATGCTGAATCAGGTGGATTATCAGCTATGACGACCATCGCTAACGCAGCGTGGGCTAGCAGATTCTCAATACGACGCACTCATGGAGGAGAGACAGCTACATACCAAGGTGTGTAAGTGTGAACCCAACGATCTTTGAGGCAGTTTGAATTCCTCCTGATTCTTCCCTCGTTAAGAGAACCTCAGCGCGACGTGTCTTCGGCCAGTCTGTATCTTTCGGGCGAGCTCTAAATCCGTATGCATCCTTCATATTCACGAATAAGCCACACAAAAATCGAAAGAGACAACGATTGTCACCTTCCCCGCCGCGCCGAAGCCAGTAAGGACGATTCCAAGGGACTTGTAATACTCGTGATCAAAGGAAGGTTCCTCCAGCGAGTTTGGTGAAATGGGAAGAGGTTCATTGGAGTTTAGTATGTTGTAGGCTGCGGGAGGGAGGTTTCCCAGCTCATTTCCCCATTCAATAGAGTCGGATGCACTGTAAGAGTCAGAGAGCACCCTCGCTAATTGCGTCAGATAGCGAGTCATGATGATCTTTAATCCTGTGCCATCGAACGGTGTGTGATGGGTATGGAACAGCAGACCAAATTTGGAGACTGTCCCATTGGCAATTTCGCCAGGGAGAAAGTGCATCCATGTCTGGTCTCCATCGGATGAAGGGACCTTCTTTTGACCCTCATCAACCCGCAATTGGTCAAGGTCGATATTCGAGGGTGGGTGGACAATGAGAGTACGATGCACCCACTGGCTGATCTCTTGCGGACTGGCAGTTGTATAAGTAATCGTGGGCAGCTCGGGATCGAATCCATTGACGGATGTCGCGATGATAGGAATTTGGAAGCGGAGCCAGCACCAGCACTCTTGAGCAGAAGAAGTGAGCTTTGTTATGCTCACAGGATTGTGCAAGTCCAGAGAAAGTCCGAAGAATAATGTTTGATCACCCTTGATATGGCGGTTCATAAGATCCTGGGCATGCTCAGCGCCTCCAAGAGGGCGAGTACATCCATTTCGACCGCCTTCACCTTTGAAGGGCTTCCATTTGAACTGTTCTAAATCGTAACGAGTAAGGATGTTAGCCATCGGTGATCTTGTCTAAGCCTGTGACCGAAGTATAGAATTATATACTGTTCACAAATAAGCTCTCTAAGATCGATATCATTATCGAAACTAGGGCCTCTCACGCATCGGTTTCCAAAGATTTGACCATGACCATATCCATGTTGATCATTCTTCTGAATTGTCCAAATGAACCTGACATCAATGGTTATTTAAAGTGCAATGTTTCGCCCTGAATATCTGACCTTTCGGAAGTGAATCTCGTATGATTTGCCAGTGGCTAGCGCTGAGCGCTGAGGCCCAGTGAGGGCCCCGTAGGATCTTTGATTGCACTGGGGTGGAGCAATATTTTATTTATTTATTTGTATTTTCTTTTTTTTTAGCAGTCCATCGGATCTACCCAGTACTTGCCCGCAGCTCGCCAGTTCACACCAGTGATAATCGATGACCAATAGCAAGGATAGAGTGACATACACCGATCAGCTGGAGAGTCGACACACTGGCCCCACCGCTATTAGTAGAACCCTGGAAGCTCTAGCTCCAAACGTTTTTACGAGATTGAACCACCAGATCACGTCAAGCGGCCTTTATTACAGCTACCTTCAAATCGATAGGCCAGAATCCATTTTTGTTCATTCACCGCTTTTGTTTAGTTGTGGAGCTGGCCAAACAAAAGGGTCCCGCCTATTACGATACTTTGTCGGGTGAGATACCCCAGAATGGTACTGGACTGCGCAACTTCTATGATATGGTATGCGGTTCGTTTGACGCTGTGTCTGACACCCTTCTGAGCTCACTGCTGGTAATACCGGTATGACTATTTATCACCAACTCATCATGGTATATTTAACATTGTCTCTGTTACTTCGGATCATGCCAGCACAGTGAGCTCAGCATTAAGTAGTACTTGCATGCTTCACTCGAGCAACCGGCCTTGGATGACATTTGGGCAGACATAGTGACATATTATTGCTTTATGGCTACTGGAATGTGATGGCGATTTCCAGCCATAGCGAAAATGTCCAAAGACAGTGTCGAATGAGAAAGCTGCGCAGGTCCAGTGCCATTCTGGGGTATCTCGCCCCGACGAAGTATCGTAATAGGCAGCCTAAGGCAGGACCCTGTTGTTTGGCCAGCTCCACAACTAAACAAAAGCGGTGAATGAACAAAAATGGATTCTGGCCTATCGATTTGAAGGTAGCTGTAGTATCAGTATCACCGCTAAGGCAATCCCTTTTAGACAAGCCGCAATGACGTCAGAACACTACGAATGGCCGACGAATTTTCACTTATGTAATATTAGAATCGAATACTTACGCCATCGGAAACATGAGGTTTTGCTGATGGCATCTAAGCGAAACTCTAGATGCATAAAGTTTGATAGCAACCGCCTCCAGTGCATCTATTGTTTATCATTGTATACGATTCTTACGAGGCGGACTCTTCTTGCCTTCCCTGGATCTTTTCTTCTTCCTAACACACGTTAGTCGACGGTATGTGGACCCTCAAACTCTAAGCGTTGTTGATTGCATCTTTCTCTTGTTCGAGCTACTGCAGCATCTAGTAATGCACCCCATGAATGGGAACCTGCTGATACAGAACAGCCTCTTGTGCTACCACCGCCATTCGTAGGCTGAGATTTTTGGGGTAATGGATTATGGGCGCTCCCGGTGACTGTACATATCACCGCAACGGATTTGTAAGGCCCGAAGCCCGACTTCTCAACGTACCCCATCAGTATCTCACTGCGTACAAATACTGATAACGGTAGCACCTATTATGTAGTTGTGGTTCACGACTTGTTTCACGCCCGCCATGTCTCTTCCTAATCCAAACACTCCATTGGCATACCTGACGCCCACCCTTGCCACCCAGTTCGAAGTCTCCAGGTATATATATGCTGTGACTCTCGGGGTGAGTTTAAGGCTACTCCCACACGCTTTACATAGTTGACAGAACACAATTCAGGCTTATATCTGGGACATTGTCATCAACCTAAGCAACGACTATAAGTTACTTTTCCGCCTTAAAGTGAATTTCCCAACCGTGGTTTACTATCTGTCGAGGTAATAAATGTTTTATGACGCCAAAACGGATTATCGCTAAGACCCTTCTTGAAGGGTGTTCACTCTCAGTTATATCCTGACCAGTTTCATCTTCCAAGGTGAGTCTCTTTTGTTGCAGATGTTGCAGACATCCATAATTTGATTACGCCCACCTTTAGTTGCCAGTGTCCCGAATTGCCAGGCTCTCCAAATTTCTTTGGGGATCTGCATGGCACTAGCTCAGTCTACCACAGCTATGCTCTTTCTTCTTAGGGTATATGCGGTATGGTACGGGAGCAAAATCATTCGCGGAGTGTTTATTTTCTTGTGGGTTGCGGTTGTAATAGCCTCTGCCACTGTCCCATTCGGCATCGAAGGCGTTCACATTGGACCAACTCAGCAATGCATCAACTCACAGGTTGCAGGCTACATAGAGTCCACGCTGATAATGGGACTTATCAATGATAGCGCTGTTGTAGCGGCTATCTCGTATCGTATTGTGAGGAATTGTGCCACTGGAGATTCATTCCAAGTTCGCATGCGAACGTTCATGGGCAGCGGGTCCATCCCGCAACTTTCTAAGGCCCTACTGCAAGGTGGTCAACATTACTACCTGTAAGCGCGTCTTTTGCTCGAGGTCGCTATTCATTAATATTCATTCTTCACGTCACATCAATCAGGATTGCTGTTGCCAGTAACATCGTCATGCTTGTGCTTCTGAAGGATCCCAGTGTGCCAGCCGTGTACCATGGCATGTGTAGCATTCCAGCCGTAGCTCTCATCAATGCGATGGCGTGCATCGTGTTTCGGGACATCAAATTCGGACGCATTTCTGCAGATGGCACCACCAATTTTCCTTCCACAGATCTGTCACACACGTTCCTTAACAAACCATCTGCAAGCCGTTCTCTTCCCCTTCATGTTCGCAGCGCCTATTCTCAGGATGGTGAGTCTTACATCAGGAAAACCAATACCGTGGACAAGGCCGCACAGGACGCAGAGTTGAACATAGAATACGAGCGGGATGATTCCTCCCTGCCGAAAATGGTTTAGAGCTAGGTTGACGAAGTTCTCGCCACATCTTTTGTTCCAATACTATGTAGTATGTGTTTAGTCGTTCGACATCCATCTGTTAGGTTTTCGAAATCAAGTATTAGGTTCTGTGTACCGATTATTCTTTTTTGGAGTGACTCGAACACGAGGCTTTGGTCAACATTTTGGATCTAAAACTGATCAAATATTTGAACACCGATATTATAACTCTGGAATTCGTGATGGAGTTATCGTTGCCACCGGCTTGATCCTTCCGGCAGAATTTGATAGTGGCAACGTGTACTATTGCCGATAGGTTATGGTCTATTCATAATGCGGTGTTGACTCTGATCAAACTTACGGGCAGCGGACAATGATGATCATGATCATTAAGAAGTCAAGAGTGATCAGCGCTCAGCTCGAACAACAACGGATCGGCATCACCTGCGGTGCGCAAGCCAGCTTGAATGAATGTTACGTTGGCGCGTCGTATCCGAGTATTACCACATCGTGATTTGTGAGTGCTTCAATTCGACTACTCCCCCCACTTCGGTAGACCGGTTGGTAATGTTACGATCTATTCGTGATGCGGCAGTGTGTTGGTCTTGTTCTGGCTGCTGCGAACTTACCTGATTGGTGAAGTTCAAAAGGACGGCTCTGTTCTTGCTAATGCCAGTGTTCATTGCCCATCTCCATACGAAATATCATGGTTTTTTCACAAGACCACTACCCAGTCGCACTGGTAAGCTTTTGGTTGACCAATTCGCTACTGGCTAACATAACCTATCGGCCAACTTGCAGGTCGGCATTTCTGCAGAGCTCCCGAGTGGTCCTCATGGATCAAACAACCTTGACTATCTATCGTTCTTCGACTTCCTCATGAACGAGCATCAAGCCTATGAGAAAATTCCGGGTGATAGATTCAACATAGATGCGTAAGTATGTTTCACATACGAATACCACCCTTTGATCACTGACGGTTTCCCTAGTCTTAACGGGGTGAATATCGGCCAAGTGGCTGCCACACACGGCACATTCTTGAAAGATTTAGATTTATTCGACCATATCGAATTCGGAATCAGTAGCAAGGATGCCAGGATTATGACAATTGGAACGCGAAAGCTCATCGAGTTATCATTCCTGGCCTTGTTGGACTCTGGAATCGATTATCGAGGAAAGAATATCGGTACTTATATGGCGAGTGTCGCCCATGACGCTTGGATGATTTCTGGCGAGGTTGGTGATACCTGTCTTGTGTTTCGCTCGCTCACTCCTAACGGTATCTTAGGATGATATCGAAACCCGCGGTTCATTGGCGTATTCCCCTTCGATGATTGCTAACCGTGTGTCATACCACCTGGATCTACGCGGCCCATCCATCCCCACCGATACTGCTTGCAGTTCCAGTCTTTCTGCCTTCCATCTCGCTATTCAGGCCATACGCAATGGGGATTGCGAAGCGGCACTTGTGGGTGGTTGTCAGTTGAATCATAGGTAAGTTCTTTTTTAATCAGTGTTTTTGAAAATTGAAAGTCGAAACGCCTTACTTGACCAGGTTTGTGGATTGGCTGGCATACAGTCAAGGTGGGATTCTTGCACCAGATGGTAAATGCAAACCATTCGATGCCTCTGCTAACGGGTGAGGCGACATTTGAATGTGTATCACTCACAAACTGAGAGTCATTCCAAGGTTTTCTCGAGGAGAGGGCGCCGTTGTTGTGGTTCTAAAACCGCTCGAGAAGGCTCTCCTTGATCATGACCACATCTATGCTACTGTGCGCCATTCCCGAATCGTATAGATTCATTCGTTCTTATTTTCCATAGGTTTTAGGCACTGGTATCAATTCGTCCGGCTCACTGGCTCCTGCAAATTCTCCTGTAGCCTATGCTCAAAGGGATGCGATGCTGAGAGCCTTCAAACAAGCTGGCCGTCAGCCACATGAAGTCGATTTCGTGGAGCTTCACGCCACAGGCAAGTTTCTGAACCCAGGCCGTTAGTTTTGCTGACTGTGTACGACTCTAGGGACTGCAATCGGCGATCCCACGGAAGCGAATTGGGTTGGAGAGAGCTTTCTGAAGAACGATAACTTGGAGCTCCTTGTAGGCAGTGTGAAAGGAAACATAGGGTATGTTGTCGGATTCATAAGCAACTTAGGCTCATTTGCGTTTTATCTAGTCACCTCGAGATCGCAGCGTTCCTCGCATCACTGTGTAAGGTTTGTTCCATGTTTCAGTCGGGAACTATCCCTCCCAATGTCAATTTCCGCAACCCTAATCCGGCTATTCGTTGGGAGGACTTCCATCTTCGTGTAGTCTCGTCGCCGACCTCGTTACCTTGTCAATCCACTACTGGACGTTCGCTGGTCTCGTTAGCGAGCTCTGGAATTGGCGGTGCCAATGGTCACTGTGTTATTGAAAGTCCTCCTTCAAGCAATCCTGTAATACCATTCTGGCGGTCGGATTCCATTCAAGTTCCTTGCCTCTTGATGGCGGGTGGCCTATCTCCGCGTTCAGCAGCGGCAATAGGAGAATCTATACGAGCCATAGATAGTCAAAAATTACCTTCTGTAGCGGTGACCTTCGGACGTCGATGCAGGTCTATGCCTTGGCGTTCTTATGCGGTCGCTTCATCAAATTCTCCCCCTCGTTTTATAGAGCCAGTTCTCGTTCCACGCACCCCACCCCCACTTGTGTTTGTATTTTCGGGACAAGGTCCCCAGCACTTTGAAAGTGAGACATCTTTAACATTTCGCAATTTGATGCTAAATTTCGTTAGTGGGCAGAAAATTATTTAGCTCCTGCACTGTCTTCCAGAGGAGCATACTTGAGATGGACGAAATACATAAGCTTTCGACTGGATTCTCGCTCATCGCACGGACTGGTCTTTTCACTCAAAACGCTCATTCCGCAGAAGCACTCGGCGATGCATGGCCTATTTCAGTAACTCTCCCTGCTCTAACCATGCTTCAAATCGCAACTTTCGATGCTCTTGTAAGTCTGGGAATGAAGCCCACTGCGATCGTAGGAGCCTCTGCAGGAGAGACCGCCTTGTTATACGCGTCTGGAGCAGGTTGCAAAGCTATGGCTGTGGAGCTTGCAATCGCGCGTGGACGGGCTATGACAATCGTCGAAGGCTCTCAAGGCGCGATGGCCGCCGTTTCATGTTCCCCCGAACAGGCCCAGAAAGTTATATCTCAGATATACGCTGAACAGGGGAAGGCTGATATGGATATTGGCTGTTATAATGCTCCTGGCGCTGTCACCTTATCGGGCTCATCTGCTGATATCGACCTCGCAGTTCAATACGCAAAGGCTGCAGGATTTCTCGCAAAGCGGTTAAACACTGCTGTTCCTGTACATTCCAGAATGATGGACGCCTGTCGTGATGAATTTCTGCGGTTGGTAACGGATGTATTTGATCGCTATCCTTCACAGCCGCCTCAAATCCCAACATATTCCACTGAATGCGGTATGTTGAAGAATGACCGATTCAGCGCAGAATATTATTGGTCTGGCACACGTGGCCCAGTGCAATTTGCAGGAGCGATTAGCCGAATGATTCACGATTTGGGTTCCCCGAACTTTTTAGAGATAGGACCTCACCCAGTTCTGACTGGTTATCTGGTCGCCCTCAGTGACGGGACAGCGTGTTTGTCCTCTGTGCAGGCCCAAAGCCAATCAAGGCGAAGTGGTATCTTTTCTTCACGCTTTGGGCAAGCTGGCTGTTGCTGGACATTGCTGTATCGACTTCAATATTCTCAACGGATGCACCGCAGCAGATGTCACCAAACTACCCGCTTACCCTTTTTCCCGCAAGAAGGTCCTCTTGTACCCAATCTCTCCTTTAATCAAAAGAATTTGCCAGCCTCGTAACGGGCCGTTAAACTACTCTCAGCTTCGTATCAACTCCCAGACACATCCTTACCTGACTCAACATGTGATTCAAGGCGAGCCCATCATGCCCGCTGCAGGTTTTCTTGAAATGGTAAGTATTTACTCGCGAAATGTAAGGGTAATAACACCCAGCCTGTCTTTTCCAGGCATTGGAGTTTGGCGCAAGACAGTTATGGGATGTCAATTTCTTATTCATGCTGTCTTTATCCGGAGACCAACCAGTGTCAGTTGATGTCAGCACTGAAGGACCTCACTGGACGGTGCGCTCCGCTCTAGTAAATCCATTACAATCATCTGGTGCACCGCCCCAAGTACGTGAAACATGTATATAGTTTTTCGCTTTATCACTCACCCATGGTTAGTATGATCGTTTGCATGCTGAAGGCTACCTATCTCTTGAACCTCAAAGTTCGGCCTTACCAGCAGTAGACATTCAGGTGATAAAGGAACGCTGCACACGAGTTAGCGTTGAAGGTCTGTCACAAATCGCTGTCGGGCTTCGTCACTGACCTCACTACTTATCACAGGTTTTTATAATGCGCTTGAGCACTTCGCTCAATATGGACCAGATTACGGAAGGATATTGGACTGCTACCGGGGTACTGATGGAGGCCACGATGAAGCTTTGGTGCAGATCCGTGGCGATGTTGGCGACCTTCCAGGGTATGAGTATTCGTTTTGTTTTGACAATATATTCATGCAACGAAAATGATAGACTGGAGAAGTTCAAGATCCACCCCGTTATCTTCGACTCTGCCATACATGTTATGGTCCATCCAATGTTCACTTATCTCACAGACAAACTCTTGTATTATCTTCCTTCTCGCCTGCAAAATCTGACAATCCACGAAGCACTTATTTCATCACCATTCCCGCAGTCTCTCTATGCTCATGTTGTTTTTCGCCAGTGGGCACCTGGTGAGTTCGCTTATTATTGACAATTCCGTCAGTAGTTCACGCCAAAGCAGAATCTCTGACATACGATATCGCCCTCCTGGACGAAGACGGAAATCACCTATGTACAATGCAATCATTCGAAGTTGCCCTCCACGGAGAGTCCTCTCTATATGAGCCAAGGCATCACTTCGATTTAGTGTATGAGCCTATCGCACTCAACCTCTCTTCGTGTCGTCACCCGACCCAGGACGAATTGCCAACGGATGTCCAAACCAGGGTTAATTCAGTGAACCTAGTCGGCGCAGATGCTGGAACGTTATTGTCGCCTTTACTCAACGTTATAGTTTACGAACACGGAAAAGAGATGGAACTTCAGCGGATATTATCTGCACAGGACGCCACAGCTCCCTGTACCATCTATTTTACAGCACTCGCTGGTCCGGACGGAGACGAGGCTGTTGGGTTCGTGCGATCCTTACGGAAGGAATATCTTTCATGGAAAATTCGCATGATAGTGTTCGACTCAGGTTGGGACGATGAAACCATAAGACGGGCAGTTGAAGTTGTATCAGAGATGCACCAGGTGGAGACCGAGCTTGTGGTGGACGCATCCGGATTGGTACATGTCCCAAGGATAACACCTTGCGAGGGTCCGAAGAAGGTCTCTCCTTTCAACTTCGACGAACCATGGCGACTTGAGAAGTCGGCCATTGTGCATTGCTCATCTCCCTCCTCGGATGGTCATTCTGCTGTCGTGCATGTACAACGTATCAGCCGATCGGACGATCAGATATGGACCTTTATTGGCTCATTGGACAGCTCACACAAAGGCGTTATGGGAATATCCGCTTCCCCTGTTGGAAATATCATCGTATCGCCACTGGATAGCATGGTAGATGCCCCAGTAGCTTGGAATGCTGATATATCGACGGCACCTGCTGCTCTCGTGTTTGCTATAGCAGTCCTTGCTGTTGGTCCTACATATTTTGAGAACCCTGGAAGGTTTCGTGGAGAGATTCTGGTGACACACGCAGATTCTCAGACTGGCAGCCAGATTGTTCAACTCTACCTTCTCCGAGGCTTTCGTGTTGCTACTCTAACGCAACATGCGACGGACTCCGAAATCGGCCGCCTCCCTAATAGCCATTTCAATGTGATTGTCTCTGAATACAGAGACATGGCAACACTCCGCCTCTTAGCACGCCTCTTGACAGCCAACGGGAAGACATTCCCATGGAAGCATCCGACGAAAGGCTTGCAGTCGCTGCTTGCCTGTGACCCGTGGTTAATTGGCCACGCCATTCGTCTTGGATCAGATATAGCTGGCAACGAGCTTAAGATGCCCATGCGCAGTCTCAGTGAGATCATAACTACCAAGCCCGGTGATCCCATTCATGTGAAGAAACATCTCTTCAGCGACAAGAAGGCTTATATACTGGTGGGAGGTGTCGGCAGCCTTGGGCTTCAGATTGCCCAGTGGATGTACAAGGTCAGAATTACGCTTTTCACTGAATCTATTTGTTTCACGCTAAGTAGAATGGCGCCCGGGAAATCGTCCTGACTTCGCGTTCCGGGTGCGCTGGAATTCAGCGCAGGGGAGACATTGCATCTCAGCGTATCATCACATACCTCAAGAGCCTACCAGACCTGAATTTACGCATTGATGCGATTGATGCCCTCTGCGAGCCCGACATGAAAGCGTTGGTGCAAGAACTTCAGAGTCCGCTCGGGGGATGCATGTTGCTCTCCATGGTTTTAGCAGATGGTTTCTTTTCTGGGCTATCGGTGAAGGACTTCAATATGCCGTTCGATCCTAAGATCGGAGCCTTCGAGGTGCTATGCAACACATTTGATATGAACAAGCTGGATTTCTTCATTTCGTTTTCCTCAGTCTCAGCACTATTCGGGAATGCAGGTCAAACTAATTATGCAGCGTACGTCTTTTCGAATTGCGTGTGTTCTTTGACTGCTCACATTCCTCAGAGCAAACACTATGATGGATGGCAGACTGCGCACCATGCCCAACGCATTCTCTATTGTAACTCCCATAATCACAGATTCATTCGTAGCTACATCGGGTGCGACAAAGTTTAGATACCTAACGGATTGGGGGATGTCATCCCATAGTGAGTTTTCCCCTGATAAGATTGCGGAAATTGACATCAAATTTACTTAGGGATCCTCCAATTCATCGAGGAAGGTATTCAAAAGCTTGCCGATGGGCCCTTCTGGTTCTATATCCCAGATTTCAACTGGGAAACAATCAGCGTCAACATGGGAAACGCTCCCATGTATGATCACCTTTTGTCCGAGCGGACGATCGCGGAAGATGAAGCGTCAACCTCAAAAGACAGTGTTTCGATCAGTGACATATTGTGTGCGACCCTGGACATTGCGCGCGAAGATTTGTCTCCTGACGTTCCGTTAACTGTGTATGGTCTGGATTCCTTATCTGCTGCAAGGCTATCCTTTGCCTTGAAACCTTTGTTTTCTATCAGCCAAACTCAGCTCCTTGCGAACGTGACCCTTCGGAGCCTAGAAGCGCGATTGGAGGACCAGCGGCTACCTGCCCTCATTGAAGCAGAGCAAAGGAGTGCATCTGAGCTTCACCGGGTATCTGAGATGAGGTCCTTGCTTGCCAAGTACACGTCTAGATTCAAAAGCCCCAAGACGCTGTTGCCTTCCTATCTCGCACGGGACTGTATTGTTCTCATAACCGGTACTACAGGAGTCGTGGGCGCACACCTTCTGGCAAGCTTACTTCGTGAACCATGTATCAGTCGCATATTTCTTCTCAACCGTTCCAAGTCCGGAACTCCAACTATGTTGGAACGTCACCAACAATCTTTCCATGCACTGTCCCTCGACCCAACCGGACTGGAAACAGACAAGGTTGTGTATCTGGAAGGCATTCTAGACAAAGATTACTTTGGGCTGTCAACTGACACATTCAACGAAGTGAGTACCGGCCTTGTTATGTAAGTCGACGAGGTTCATCTTGTTTAGATGGCTCAAAGCGTGACCCACATTATTCACGTTGGTGAGCAATTCGCTAAATTATTTCACATTTATGCTGAGACACTTTTGTAGCTTGGCCAATGGACTTCACTGCCCCGCTTGCTACATTTGAACATGCTATTCACGGTCTGCGGAATTTGGTGGACTTTGCTATTTCCTCGCCCTGGCAAGTTCCGCCTCGATTACTTTTTACAAGCACAGTCGGTGTATTGAGTGGTAAAGTACTTCGAGTGATTTGAAAAGCACAGAATCACTGACATTTTGGCAGGTCTCACATCATCGACCACTGTAAAGGAGACTCTTGTGCATGACCCCAGTATATCTGTCGGCTCGGGATATATCGAAGGCAAATGGGTTGCGGAGCATATCTTGGCAGCCGCTGCCGATGCTACGCGACTGAAGCCAGTAATTATTCGCCTAGAGCAACTAACTGGAGGGCGTAGTGGATACTGGAAGACGACGGAATGGGTGCCATCCATGATCGGATCAGGCCTCTTTGTGGGTGCCTTGCCCAACCGCTCTAATGTGAGTTTTCTTGATCGCCATCCGACTATCGCTGACCTGTGTAGGCTGTAAATTGGCTTCCAGTCAACGTGGCGGCGGAATCGATGGTGGAGATGCTCGATTCACCCCCTGGCGTGTATCACTTGATACATCCAAGTCCTGTTTCGTGGACTATCCTGATGCAGGAAGCTGCTCGCATCATAAATGTTCCACTGGTCCCGTATGCTCAGTGGTTTGCGTCTTTGGAGAAGCAGGCATCATCACAAATGGCTAAATCACTGCAAAACAATCCTGCGTTGAGGTTGCTTGACTTCTTCAGGTATACCACTACGAATAAAGAGAACTTCGTAGAGTCGGAGCTCTCATGCGCTAAAGCATTACAAGAATCTGCGACACTGCGATCAATGGTCTCAAGCCCATTGGGAACTCGGGATGTAGCTAAATGGATGGGATACTGGCACAGCATTGGTTTTATTCCTGTCTGAATCGAAATAACGAAACTTCTGTACCTTAGCATGCGTACTGCATTATTTAGTCACAATCGATACACATCAGTAAAATCCCCGATTCCCTCTTTTGAGGTTCATTCAGGCGTCATCGAGTGAAGAGATGGTCGTTGTATCGTGAGCCAACGAGGAACGATGTGTTTGACGAGTGTTTAAGGAAAATACTGAGATTTCGGGCGAGGACAAGCAGCGTCTTCCGGCCCCCAGGGACTCATCTAAGACGGAAATGGGCTGTGAGGGAGGAGGGCCTCCTCGCTGCGACTATACTGTAACTGTAGGTGTCCTCCGAGGCCCTGTGGTGCGTATTTGAGGAGAGCAAAGGAACTTGAATCGGGTGCGATGAAAGAAGGGAGAGAAGGGTGGGGAAATAAAAATGGGGACGAGAGAGTTCCGAGGACGAACGGTAGGTGAGGCACGGAGACAAAAATCGTAGTACTATAGTGCTTTGCAGAGGTCGTTTAGTGTGTTTGGAATGGTTGCGTCGGTTCGATATTGATATTTTTGTCTAGCCCATGATCTGTAGAGAACCATCATTTGAGGGTTGCATCTATTGATGATTATCCTTCTAGCGTTATTGACGGAGAGACCTCGCTTCAGGCATGATGATAAAAGGATAATCAGGTGGTGTGATAGTTGGTGAATGAGAGCGCAATGGAACTGGAAAGCTTGAAGGACCGATTTTATGAACGATGCTGCTCATGACCGTGACCCATCCCCAGCCTCTGTCACAGTTACGGTAAGTAGTACCTAGCCATCCCGGCATATGAAAGTCGTTCCTTCTGTCTCGAGGGTGCCAGCCGATCAGGTTCTGTGGTGGCCTGATGGCCCTGATCGCAGTCCTGAATTTTGTGCCTGTATGACGAGGTTCCCTGGCAAGGCTCGAGCGTTCGTTAATGCATTCAACGTTCGCGACGAACGCGACTCGTCGACTCGGTAACGCGAGCGTCGTGTGACGTGACGAGTATAACTAGTGACTGTCACACCCCTTCTCCGGAATCTTTGATCTTGAATTGAAGGCTATTTCCCTTGGCTAGTCTCTGTTTGACTAGTACATTCATCTGAACTGTCAAATGCTTTATGATATGACTGATCATATCATGATGGAACAGATATCATGAAACACGATGACTTCCGGCAGCATTTAGAACGTTGTCCTCGTGCCGACGTGCCGCCGTCATTGGTCAATTGAACGTGATTTGTAAGTCCGCATATGATATGGGGGCTATGTGTTTCAAACTAGTACGCGAGCCTTTGAGTCAATCACCGTGACTATGTTGTAATTGTTGCTTACACTCAACGTTCAACGTTGCATTGTAATCTGGATGCAATTAGTCTGCGCTTTGGAAAGCATTTCTAAATTGCGACAAGGTGTGAGACGATACTCTAAATCGAGTATTCTAAACGCTACAGGAAGTCACCCACTCTCGTCCAAACGTGCTGTGCTACCTGCAACCATATGATTTTCCCTGTAGGTTCACGTGAATATGACAGCCATTGTTGTATATGCAAACTGATCTTGCAGCGCCATATTGTCCTCCTGTTGCAACCTGCCACATATTCGGTTCCTTCTTCGCCATTTCGGATGGAGTCCCTCTGATTGCCATGGTGGCCATGATCAACCGCTTTGCATGATCAACCATATCAGATCATTATCGATGTGTTTCAGTAAGAAATGACAGAGGGATTGACAGCAGCTTCCGTTTGCATGTCATTGTGTTAATACTACAGGTACCACGAATCGATCAATCATATGCCGTCTAGCAAACAACGTAGCACCTGATTTATATCCCGCACTGGAAGACATGTTAACATTGCTACGTCACGTCACTATGTAATTTGATACTTAAAATATTGTGCCACAGGATGGGTGTTTTTAACACCCTTGCTCCGTTATATTCATCTTATTGGAATGTCAGACATTACTGAATCACAGCAGTTGTGAGTAGTGCTTGCATAGATGCATCGTATATCCTGATCCTTTCGATTTACCAGGTGGATCCACTTGTACGCCGTTCTCGTGGCAAACAGTATTAGGACATCTTATCGTTGATCTCCGAGCGTCGAGCAATGACAAAATATTCTAGGTATCCTGATATACGACCATATCGCGACCCTCCCAGAAGAAATCGCTTTTATTTGGCGTCGTCCGAAGGCGCTGTCTTCGAAATTGTTTCTCGTCAATCGCTATATCGCTCTGCTCGGCAATATATTTGCCTTATGCATCGTTTTCTTGCCCTTGTCAGATGAGGTTCGCTGATTTCATTATGCATATAACGAACTGCCAGGCTCACAGAACTCAATTCCACAGAGGTTTCATTTCTTGTTCTTTGCATATTCGTCATTTTTCTCAACGGAGACTTAGTTGTGTGAAATACACGTTATGCAGACAACTGTTCTTTCTTTCCCAAGGAATCATTGTTTGTCGTGAGTAGGAAGTTTATTGCGGGAAGTACGCATACTAAAATTCCCATGGAGTCACATTGACCATTCGCATTTATGCTCTCTACGGTTGTAGCAAGCGTTTACTTATCTGGATGATAAGTATCGGCTTTATTCTTGTGGTGGTAGCTTGTGTATGTATTCACGTAGACGTTTGGACCCGGGGATCCGCTGATCCTTTCTAGGCGGGAACCTTTGGACATTTCTCAGGTAATGCGACCATTTATCCAGGAGTTGGCTGCTATGAAACATATACAGCAGAAATGTACGTTGTTTTCGTCCCTGTTCTGTGCGTTTGCTCAAAAGTCGTTGCAGAGCCGCCCGTCAGTGATTCGTAAAACCCGTTTCCATGCGATCTGATGTCATGACTTTGTCCAATTGCAGGTGTTGGGCTGGCATGGGTGGCCCTGTTTATCTTTGAATTACTCATTTTCATTCTCACAGTGTACAGAATTTGCAAAACTAGAGGCTTGTTGCGGTTGTCTCTGTTTACCAGGACCAATGTCATCAATATTGTATTTCACGACGGTAAGTCTTTTGTTGTGCTTGTATTGAAATGCTGAATCAACCTAACGCAGGCGCAATGTATTTCGGGTAAGGCGCTAGCGAGATCGTAGTTCGAGTGGATCTGATCCACATGCCTTCAGAGCGATGACACTGATCAATATACCGAACATCCTGACGTACTACGTGAGTCAACGAATGTATATTAATGGAGTTAAAGCGCTCACCGTTTGAATCAATCAGTCTGGTTCAGTGAGCATATGAACCTGCATCTTATATTTAGTCGACCTGTTTACTAATGAATGCCAAGGTTAACACCAGAGGCAGTCTTGCTACATTTACTAGCTCGTGAGTGATGGTACGATAAACATGGATCGCTCTCATTCATTACCTCTAGCATGTCCGCTACTTTCATCTCTCGACTGGTGCTTAACCTGCACGAATCCATGGACACCGGTATTTTATCCACCACCGTTCGGGATGACAGCGATTTCCTTACCACCCGGGTCAACGTTCAGTCCGCTATTTCCTCTCACCATTGGTAGGGCTAGTATTGGATTCCGTTTTTTTTGGATGTCAAGTTGCAGAGGATTCTTATTTTCCTTATGCGAGGATCGCAGTATCCTTTAGCATGATTGGATGTACAGTTCATTTTGGATTAGTTTGATGTGTGTTAACATATTGAGTGTGTTGTGATACTAGCCATGCACACGAGTACGATTAGCTTCGTAACTTAGATTGCTGAGATCAATCGCTGTATACAGCAGTATTACTGCACAACATAGCCTTATAGAGTAGTACTTACTAGAAATTTCAAGCAATCATGAAAAGATTGTCGAACGAGTGCCATACCCATGAGTTATGAACTATAGGGATATAGTAGGGGAGGAAGGGGCTGAGAGGGCTGGTTGGAGGTCACAGATACGAGAGTAATCAGAGGATACCCAGGTGATCGAACTGGCGAGAGGGGACAGGGAAGTTGGGGGAAAGTTGCAAGAGGTCACGAGAGCACAAGGACAAGTAGGTTATATTTCTACTGCAAACGTTATGAGCAAAAAAGAACAAAGGACTTACCTAAGGGTATGGGCTGTAAGGTAGTTTCGGACGCGGAAAAGGGGTGTAGGAAGGCCGGTAGACTGCGGGAATGTACGGGAGGTACAAGGAGGACACGAGAAGAAGTGCAAGAAGGTGTGAGAGGGCGCACTGACGCCTACTCTCTTCATATAAGTGGTGAGAGTAATAACAACAACAAGAATCTTACCAGAGAGTATGAGTCTGCTCTGAATAAAAATCAAACATATCGCCGGCACAGAACCAGTGAGGAAACTAGGTCGAATATGATGAAATGACCGGAAGAGTGACATTGCCGACCTTTGCAAGAACCTTGGTATCTTTCACGGACCACATCAGACTCATCATAAAGAGAGAACAGCTGTCTTCGTTCTATATGGTCAGACTAAGACTACGTCAGTTCGCTAGTGGGAGTCACGCTAAACGTTAAACGCCTTGTTGTTACCGAGTTGGATAGAAATGCACGTGACTACACCTGAGCTTATGTGAGCGTTCAGCGCAGGATATTTCATAAACTCTGTAATACCACTTGATCCATTTTCGACTGGGTACTATGAGTGATCAGGTTACCCCAGCAAAGGCCTCAGAGCAGGCAGCCTCCAGGTTTGTCTTCATAAGTTACCAAAAGAAAACATCACTCACTCGTCTGTTGTATCCCGAAATCCTATTGGTGATGTCAAAGGGCGGCGCTCATGAAACTCCTCTTTTTTGCTGCAACGCTCGCCATCCTACCAATCTCGTCGTACTTCCTCACAGAAAAATACGTTTGGTCTGGTACGTCTAGACTCTACTGCAGGATGCAGCAGTCACGAGTTCGTGTACTGATATTTTTCTTCTTCAAGGCAATTCCAACTATGCTGCAATCACCGCCATATGTGCAGCCAATGTAGTCCTCATTGCGTACATCGTCATTTCTTTGATGGAGGACAAGCAATTGTTCAAGGAAGCGGAGGAGAAGAAACTATCAGAAACCAAGAAGGAGCGATAAAACCCATTGATACGGTAATACTCAGGCTACGGTCGTTTGTCGTCTAGGCACTTTCAATGCATGCATTCTTTCTGTTCATTTCCGCTAAGCTCGTGCAAAGGGGTTCATTCAAACAGATTGCTGAGGTCCAGAGTCAGACTGCGGCTTGTTGTAGGATATAAATTATTCAAAGCTCAAGGCGTTCGGTCTTCCAACTTGATATACTACGTCATTCAAATCATGATTCATATTCAACTTCCACTTTTATTACGAAATTCACTATTGTCTGCAGAACGGATAAACAATTTTCTCCAAATACGTATCGTATCTTCCAATAGAACTCCTCCGGCGATTGACATCTGTGTTACTAGAAATGAATAGCAATGTGATTCTAGTACATCGTACACGCGGTTACTTCTTTCATTACATTTAGAAGCACTCTGTCGCGGGAGTAAATGAGAACCGGTACAATTATAAAATGAAAGACACGTACTGCGATGAACGATACCAGGACCTGACTCGTCATACTCCTGCTTTGAACACCACAAGTTCTGGAAAGTGGACAACGAAGCCAGGATGGAGCCACCGATCCAGACAGAGTATTTCCGTTCAGGTGGAGCGACGATCTTGACCTATTAAGTGGCGACGAATGAGAATTATGACTGCACGAAAAAGGTTGATACGAACCTTCATGCTCGAAGGCGAGAGTGATGTCAACTCCTTCTGCATACGGTCGGCAATACCAGGGAACATGGTAGTACCACCCGACAACACAACATTACCATACAAGTCGCGACGAATATCAAGATCGCACTTGAAGATGGAGTTGTACCTAGAATGGGGGTAAATCACACTGCGTCTCTTGTGAATTATCTCTTACGTAGTCTCATGGATACCGGCAGCTTCGAGACCAAGGAATGCAGGCTGGAAGAGAGCTTCAGGTGCACGGAACCTTGTGATTTCATAAGTTAGGAAAATGTAATAATCAGCATAAATCGACTTACCGCTCGTTTCCGATGGTGATGACCTGACCATCGGGCAGCTCGTAGCTCTTCTCAAGAGCTGATGACTGGGCGGCAGTCTGCATCTCCTGCTCGAAATCGAGAGCGACGTAACACAACTTCTCCTTGATGTCACGGACGATTTCACGCTCTGCAGTCGTCGTGAATGAGTAACCGCGCTCAATCAAGTTTTTGATCAGATAGTCGGTAAGATCACGACCAGCAAGGTCGAGACGAAGGATAGCATGAGGCAGAGCAAAACCTTCGTAGATAGGAACCGTGTGGGTGACACCGTCACCGGAGTCCATGACGATACCGGTGGTACGACCAGATGCGTACAACGACAAGACGGCTTGAATGGCGACATAGAATGCAGGTGCATTAAATGTCTCGAACATGATTTGGGTCATCTTTTCACGGTTAGCTTTAGGGTTGAGGGGAGCCTCAGTGAGTAAGACGGGGTGCTCCTCCGGGGCCACACGAAGCTCATTATAGAATGTGTGATGCCAGATCTTCTCCATGTCATCCCAGTTCGTAACAATACCGTGCTCAATGGGGTACTTGAGGGTCAAGATACCACGTTTGGACTGAGCCTCATCACTACGTGGATTAAATTAGGTGAAAGCTTAAATGAAATGGCCGAAGCTTACCCAACATAAGAGTCCTTCTGACCCATGCCGACCATGACACCCTGGTGACGCGGGCGACCAACTATGGAGCTGCAAGTCTGTGTGAGCGCTGGATCACCAGTGACGATATACGATCTAAAACGTACGGGAAGACGGCGCGGGGAGCATCGTCACCTAATGAGATGCGATCAGTTTGTATCATTACATCCCCACAAACGGCCTTGAATTACCAGCAACTGCGAAGATGCTTATCAGATGGTGAAACACGTAGATCGAAGAGAAACTTACAGCCAGCCTTGCACATTCCGGATCCATTGTCGATAACCTGACGACGCGAAGAAATTAAGCGTTCTGTACGGGGTCAATAGCTACGATGGGATTGAACATACGAGGGCAGCTACTTCTTCTTCCATGGTGAATTAGTTGTGTAGTAGACTGGTGGGTGATGGAGGTTCTAAGTTGAAGTGCACGAGCGCATCACAAGCGGAGTGTGCATTTCAAACTCAGACTACACAAGGCAATACTTGTGCCGCCGGTCAATGCATAACTTATTGGACGTTAGACAGCATGCAGACGGAAAGCCGGTTGGAACGTTGAAGTAGGGAGTAGCTAGCTTAGGGAAGGTATGAGAGGCGCATTTGAGTCAATCACTTCAAAATTGAAGGTCGCAATAACCATTGTGTTTTCACCGCAATACTTAGATCTAATTCAATATTGTGGAGCTCGTTGAAAGCTTGAAACAGAGAAAATATGTAGCATCATACGTAGAGAAATAAATTAGTCCATTTGAACGAGCATCGCAGCACGATCCCTGGCTTGTCCCTGGCACTGATCAACTTGCAGGCTGCAGCAAATCCGATTAACTGATCTACATTACGTAAATTTTACATAAGAGTTTAATAGATCGGTGGCGTTAAGTAATCCTACTTGCTTTCGACGAAAAATTTGTAGGAAAGGCCTTTTCATCCTCACAATCTGCTCCAGAAGCTTTGAAGACACGCCCCGCCGTCTGCTAATGAACCTATCGCCATCAAGAATTCCGAACCGGCGAACCTCAATGATCTGCTCTTTTCACGGGACATGCCTTACGAAACTGTGCAGGTGAAGAAGCCGCTCAGCGAGCAACAACTCAAGGAAAGAGGAATAGGCTACGGGGTGGCAGGGAGGAGCCAGAAGAGGTTGCGCGTGCCAAGAATATACGCCAGAGTGCAGGACCCTGACTCGTCCGATGGATGCATCTTTGTTCCTTTACCTTCATCTCAAATTATTCCAGCACATCTACGTAGCTCCAGCAGCAATCTCTAAGAAGGTACTCTTTATTGAAATATACACCTGACTCGTCACAATGGTAACAGAAGAACAGGCTAGCCAAGGATTATCATGTTTTGCGTCAAATTTGGTGCAAGATCTGACCATTAGAGATCGCACTATCCAATCGCTTCCTGAGGTTGCGAGGAAATCTGGTAGTGCGATTTAGTGAAGCCCAGTGGGCGCGTCCATGTCTGCACTTCCTTGTCCTGAATGGCGTAGGTGACCATTTGTGCATTCGAGTCGGACGACGAGGTCTTGTTTCCGAGAGATACGAAGGTAATACTCTCTTCAAAATAACGATAAGCTCCTGGAGCTTCCCGAGCCCATCACACCTGTCGCATTACACTCGTATGTCAGACTTCTTGTCACAGTTGGTCGAATTTAAAATGAACCTGCAGCTCTACATCTATTGCGAAACATGAAATACAACCGTGCATATATAGTTGGATCACTAGTTCCAGTTCTGATGCAATTTGACATTGGTCTGCCTAAATTGATGATCCTCCAAACTCTTACTCCCTGCACATTTCCCATGCTACTCACTACCGCTGGTTGACACGTGTCCGCGCTCCTGGAAAGCAATCGTAGGCATGGCACTTCCTTCATCACAATCGGCTACCAGCTTAGCGTGATAATCTCGAATGCTCAGGACGAGACGTGGTCCCAGCACAAACATCTGCACGAACTGGGCGATTTGGAAAACGCCGTAATAAACACCAGATCCCACAGTAATTGGGTCCTGTGGAATTGATAGGTGATCAGCAAGCGGTCAGATGTAGATGTGATCGGCGCACCAAAGCGGGGGATAGTGTGCCGATGTTGAAGCAAGTCACAGCAACAAAGCTGGCACACGCAAAACTTCAGTGGAACAAGATAATAGCTTACAAAGTACCAAGCTCACCCTACGAAGTATGGCACATGACTTCTTATCAACACCGTGAAACAGTCTCCGATGGTCGATTCTGTCCTTGATTTTTGCAGTTCACGGATATGTTTGATAAAAATCCTGACAGCAAGAAACAAGGCAATAACCTCCCATAGAAGGGTGGGTATGAAGATCTCCCGATTCAGTGTGTCAGCGACACCGAGGCTCAGGCACATACGGTTGCCAGAAAGGACAACATCCACTGGTATTCGTGCATGAGTCCTACGTGCTCAAGGCTTTCATCCGTAATCGAAACTCACCCGCTGAAGCTTTGATATTTCCTATTCCTGTCATAACCACGGTAGCGATCGTGCATGTCAATAAGACTGCACCGAGGAAGACGAGCATGATCTTGGATCCCTGATACATAGCATGTATTCGAGTCATCATGATGACTTGCGTGGCATTTCAGTCAATTAAATATCAATCAAGTTTCCAGCGCTCACCGCCCAGCATGGCATTGACGACGACAGGTATCCATACCTGCATGAAGTAAAAGATATTGCCTAGAAAAACCGGTAAGCAATGCGCACTGGTGGACTCGATGCTTCAGATAAACTTACAGCTATTACAGTCGTTACGTTGAAAAAACAAGTCGGCCGAAAACATCACTCACTCCTATCATAATGCAGGAGTGCATTAGTACTTGACTGGGAATGGCAGGTCACGGTGCAAAACACCCACTACATCTGTAATCGAGAATGGGAGATTCCCTGCATGCCACTGGTTAGAAGGAACAAACGCATTTAACTGGACACATACCAACTATGTAGACGCTGATTGTGAGATGGCTCATTAGCACAGTGCAATGTAATCTAGTTAGCATTGCAAACGTACATAGAATATAGTATTCCGATGCAGCGCACCTAGCATATGTTAAAGTCAGCACAACTTGACAACCTGGCGTATAGCACAAGATACGTACACAAACGTAGAGAACAGTCACGAAGGACCAGCGTCGCCTCTGCCGCGAATAAACTGCATTAGCCTGCTGTGCTCCTGAAATAGCATTCTGCTCACCCAGACCAATTCGAACTGTTCAAGTAATCCTGGTGAGTTGGCTATGTCGGAAACAGGATTGACTAACCTCTTGTGCAAATGTCAATACTTGAATAGATATCGATATCAAAAATCCCCTCAGAAAGTATTGGCATGATCTCGCTCACCCCAGTCGTATACTACTGCAGTAGATGATGCAACTAAAAAGATAACAAGATTAGTCCCGAGTAACATCATCCACCTTACTCTCCACGAACCTATAAAATAATTCAATATATAACACCACTTGATGTACGGCCACCAGGCAGGATCATTTGAGACATGGGTCATGTTGGGACTGGGGAACCTGACGTTCCTCAGGCCTCAGGCTGCAGATATACCACCATTCAGTGACAGGGCCCATGCGGCCTCATTGTCAAATTTGCGACCGCTGATGAATCAAAATAAAAAGTAACCAATATTAACTCCATGGGCGATTGCGTTCCCACACCTACCAGTAAAGCTGTGGGGTTAGAAGCCAATGGCATGTCAAATCCTGACTTCTGTCAAAAACATATGCATGGGCGCAATTGTATGATAGGCGATTGTGCGTTGTGGCCGGCTGCTTCGCCGTTGGAGATTTGAAATGCATTATGCTAGGCTGTATTCGCCTAGATTCGCCTTGGCATTTTCCCTTCAAAGTCCAGGACCTTCCTGAATCAATTGTCATGTGAGGCCGCTTCAGCCTTCAGGGCATCCTTCAAATTGATATGAGTCTATTAATTAATATTAACTTAAGAAACTGACGATTAGCTGATGTAAATGACTCGGCGAAAAGATGTTCTCGACCCGGAGGTGAACCCCTGCATTTGCTATGGTATTAGAGGAAGTATTCGATGCTTCACACAACAAGCTTACAACTATTGCAGTCGCATCCGGAACTTAAACCATGCTGCTAAGATCAGCAGGTATTGTTGAATTTGATAGCAGTGCGGTCACCAGTGTGCCAGACGGATCATAATGGGGATGTACAGGAATCTGGGTAACTGGTGCGAGACATCGGACGGCTGAGAGGCAGGCTGTTCTGAAAGGCTGACTTCGCTGTTGACTTCGGCCTAAGCATCAGAAAACCAGAAACATCGCATACAACGTAATGCCTACCAAAAGGGTCGATTCTTGCAAGACTGATTTGTGAGGGCAATTCTCACGAGACTGGAGGAACCTTTGGAAGTAGTTATGAGGGACATGTCTGCACATCTTATTTACATTGGGCTGATCCTGCTAACAAATAGATGAATGAGGCACCAGCAGCACTTAGATGTAGGAACATCCAGTCGAATGCAGCGTGAAGGTCATCCACAATCCGGCAAACATATTCCCACTTCTAGTTCGTCTTCATGTCACTTGGACCAGGAAGAACTTCGACGTACAATGACGCTAGTCAATCTGGTGGAGATGGAATATATCGACGACCGGTGACCGGCGATGTGAGCTTTTTCTTCATCTTTCGATGATCAAGGAAACTTTCCTTGCCTGAATGATGTAAGGCCCGATTAGATGAAAGTGCTATACATTAGCATCTCAAGAGTAAAGATCGAGGATGTAGTATGACGGCATGTCATCAGTACGGTTCGTCCTGTTAATTCCTCATGTCACTGAGGGTTTCTCTTTCCACCATCTGATAACAACGTGACGATGTACCAAAAGGGCCTCTGTTGTTAAGATGACTGAGTTCAAAGTCAAGACTACCAGCACCGTATGCGCGTCATATATCTCCTTTGCTGGAAAACAATGAAGATATCTGTGCAGGGCGTAGAGCAAGAGATGGGTAGACCAAATGCTTCCGAGTCCGAAAATTTGATTGGTGGCAGTATACCCTTTATCGAGATCGAGAGAATCGAGTAGTACTCGGTGACCAGTTTGCCCTAACAGGCTGCTGAGCTATGTCATGCGCAGATAGAATAACGATTCCAGTATTAATGTCGCACGTTCTCCCGGCGTTCTAGTAGTCGACAGTGTTTAACACTGCATTGGCGACGAGAAGACCGGAAGAAACAACAACTCCGATTAATTGAACAATGTCCTGAGGAGAACTTATCTTCGTCAAGCCATTTCCATCCTAATCTTACTAGTGGTCCTGATCAATAGAACTTGAAATAAGGCAGCCGTTCCTTCGAATTCGAAAGTCCATATATATGTATCTGGCCCGGGAATCCGTTCCCGATGACCCGAGTCTAAATGACAATGTGTGAATTCGAAAGTACACCCGACAGTTATAGAATAACGAACGTGGAAGAATAGCGCATCATGGGGTTGGGCAAAGCCAACACATGTCGTCCAGAATGTTTCGCCTTATCGTTGTTTGCCTCGAACTCGGTGTCAACATGCTGCCATCACTGTAGTCGCAGTAGGTCGGAAGGTACACGAGTACTACACCACGATAATAGGAATGGCCTTACACGTAGTAAGAAGTAAGAACCGCTATATGATGTTCAAAATGCACAATCGAAAGCTAATCACTTGCGGTGTTCACCCACGTTCGCCTCGTTGGTTGACTTTTGTAGTTGACTCCAATATGCATAGAGACCCCATGTGCTCGGGTCAGCGCAAAGCACGACTTCAACCTGTTGAAGAGTAGGAATAACCTTTAGTAGTAAGTTAAGTAGGAGACTTGCCAAGGCTGGGATCCAGCCGCTTACGTAATGGACGCTGGTCCTAGCACGAGGTCGCACTTTGAGATGAGTCCGATTGTCATCTTTTCAAGTTACAAGAAACAAGTTTCATTGTCATCGAGCAAATGGTGGCTCAGACGCGTGCAGGGAACTCTGCACCAAAGCGACTTGCTTTCAACGAAAAAATTGTAGGAAAAGGCCTTGCAACAGACGCGCTCCTCAAGAAACTCAAAGCTCTCCACACCGAACTTGCCGAACTCGACCAGGAGCTCGTCGACGTGAATTCACTATCCGCCGTCCGCACCCAGCTCGTAAACACATCCATTCTACTACACAAAGACAGAGGTGTCAAGGCCTATGCAGCATGCTGTCTCGCCGACATACTCAGGCTATACGCGCCCGATGCCCCTTATACCCACACCGAGCTCAGGGACATCTTCCAATTCTTTTTCAGACAACTATCAACTGGCTTGAGGGGCGCAGAGGCATCATACTACAATGAATACTTTCACCTCCTTGAGTCCCTATCGACAGTGAAGAGCGTTGTCCTCGTCTGCGATCTACCACATGCCGAGGAGCTTATGGTCGACATATTTCGCGACTTTTTCGGCCTTGTACGACGAGACCTTGCAAAGAAGATCGAAATTTTCATTGCCGATATCCTTGTCGCGCTCATCGACGAGTGTCAAGCGCTTCCGTCCGAGGTATTGGAGACTATCATGGCGCAGTTCATGGCCAACGACGCGGTAACCATTACACCACCCGTTTCACTCCTACCTTCGCTTATCTTTCATTTACTCAGCAACCTGCATACCGCCTTGCCGTTCAAGTCTGTAATGCCACCGCGGACAAGCTCCAGCGGCACGTCTGCCAATATTTTACGGATATCATCGTCGCACACTCCCATGAATCAGACTCCGAGTCCAACTTCGAGGAGATACGGAAGGCACACGAACTAGTCAAGCAACTGAGCAGGTCTTGTCCATCTTTGTTGCACAGCGTTATTCCGCAACTCGAAGAGGAGCTTCGTGTGGAGGAGGTGCAAGTGCGTCTAATTGCCACCCAGGCACTCGGTGAAATGTTTTCAGAGAAGGGTGGGGCAGAGCTTGTTAAGAAATACCCTACAACGTGGAATGTGTGGTTGATGCGGAAGAACGACAAGACTGCGGCAGTGCGGTTGAAGCTTGTAGAGAGCGCTAAGGGTCTTCTGGTGAATTTGCATGATCACCGGGAAACTGTAGATGGTGAGGTTCCTCCTCCTCGTCATGTTATCCGTGCTAACATGCAAGTAGAGCTAATGAGGCTCAAGTTACTAGATCCTGACGAAAAAGTGCGTGCGGCGGTTTGCAAGGTGTATTCGCAATTAGACTACGAAACTGTATTGCACTATGTCTCCGAGGATCAACTACGTTCTATTGCTGGTCGTGGCATGGACAAAAAGGTGTGTGACACGCATCTGTTCTAGTGATTTAGTTAAACGACATTCCAGAATTCAGTGCGAGTAGAGGCACTCAATAGCCTCGGCAAGATCTACAGTACTGCATATCCAGAAATGTATGGGTCTGCCTCTTCGTTGTTATCAAGCCTCCTGACCCCATCGACAGCGAGAACAACGATTCAGCAGCGATCAGACACTTTTCCTGGATTCCAAACGAGATTCTTCACATCTCCAACTCCACACAGGAGGCAAGGTACAACTTATACTTGTCCGCTGTATTTCTTGTTTTCATTGTTTACAGGCTTGCAGCAGAGCAGGTTATCGCAGACTTCGTATTCCCGCTCCCTTCTAGTTCCTCAGCGTCAACATCAAAAAACGTTGATGTAAATGAGGTTGCTTGGACCGATCGACTATTGAACACGATGGGCTACCTCGACGATAGGGGGGTTAATGCCGTGCTCCTCTTAAGTGGCATAAAGGGTAGCAGGCCCTCTCCGTACGAGTTATATCTGCAAAGTTGTGTACAGCATAATGTGAGTTCTGGCCTTGGCTGTAGTGGACGTGACCTCTATCTTACACTTGGATTAGGGCGGTGTCATTGACGAGGATGAGGACAATGTCAAACAGCGACTCAACAACGTCATTCGCCACATTTCCCGTAAGCATCGCTACTTTATGTTCGCCACCGCGTATTTGATCTTGTTGCAGGACAATTTGGGGATCCTCAGAAAGCAGCAGAGGACCTGCATGCATTTGCAAGGACAAACGAGAACAGGTCTTACAAGTTACTGAAGACATGCTTGGATACCCAGACAGATCTCAAAGGACTCGTGAAAGCATCTGTGAGTATCTATTATGCTCAAATTTAGACTTCGTACTCACACTGCACGAAGAATGAGTTCCTTCGTCGGATTGAGTCAAGTTCGGAATCCATTCTAGGCACTATGACCGTATTCCTTCGACGGGCAACGCTTCGCATAGTTAACCAGTCATCTATTCCAACCTTGATCAAGCGTGTACAGAGAGCAGACTCGAAACATGCACAGACGCTCTTGACGTACATATCAAAACACTGCCCTGCTCTGTACAAGCCCCATACTAGCGAACTGACAAAAGCAATCGCGGACGAAAAGAACATGCGGCTCGTGGAAGTAGGTATGCAAGCACTGGCAGCAGTTTCCCAGAGCGATGAAGCGTTAGCAGTTAATGATAAGTGAGTGGTCCCTTGGTCATCTGCTCGTTATAATGCTTCATGTTGGACAGACGTACGCTGGAGCGTGTAATGCGCTATGTTTTGGGTTCAAATGCTCGTGTGGCGAAGTTCGCTGCCCGAATATTGGTAGCCTCTAAGGAACATGTCGATTTATGCGCCGAAGCTGTGGAGGTGAGCTTTCCGGGTTTGATTCTGACTGAGCGTTCATCCCAGGTCTTCTAGTCAATAGCGAGGAAGTTATCAACAGCAGAACCCGATCTACTTGTTGCGCATACCACCGTTCTTGCTCAATTTGCTCGGTTAGCGCCCGATGCATTTGAGCGC